TCCAGCCCTCTCCTTGTAGTGTCTGCACCTCCCTCAAAGCCCCGGCTTCTCCTCCTCACTGGGAACTCTATCTTACCTCCCCCAGGAAGCGGGCTCCTAGGGAGAGGCCTCTGGAAGGGTCAGGGTCAAAGTGGGAAATGAGTGAATACAGGAATGAGCTTAAGCCAGCGCTGTGCTTTGCTAATGGTATCCTCAGCCCCTGTGTGGACCTTGAGGTGAGGGCCTAGAGGTTTGCCAGCTGTGTGGTAAGGTGTGGCTCCCACATTCAGTGGGCCACAGCCGCAAGGCGTGGATGGGCCCCCTCCCCCACCTCCACTGTCAGCAATGACTGCCCTAACCCTGGCGGAAGTGAGGGATTAGCAAAGTCTCCTCTGGGCCATGTGACTCCTTTCAGTTCAGGGGACCAGGATCATAGGAGTGGCAGCCCCTACATTCCCTACCTGTACCCTAGAAAGTGGGGGAAAGGGCATGTTTGGAGACGCATCCCTAAGCCAGAGTTGAGGAAGAAAACCAGGTTCCTTAGACTTTTGTGGGAGCCCCAGTTGCTTGTGTCCCTGACCCCCATGGCATGGGCACCTGGCTGTACCTCAGCTCTATGTGACCCCTATTTGGGCATCTGAAGTGGTGGGGGGGGGGCGGGATACTGCCTCTCCCAGGGGACTCTTGGCCAACCCTGCCTCATCCAGCTTCGAGGTGTCCTGGGCTCGGGTTTCTCATTAAGGGTTTTGGGACTTTACATGGTTCTAAGGGACCTGCAGCTGTTCCAGGTCACAGGCCCCAGGATAGGCCCAGAGTTCAGGCTTCTTCCCACCTGGAAGAGTAGTACAGCTTTAACGCCTCCTCCCACCCTAAGCCGGCAGGGGGAGGGAAGGGAGGAGCTGGGTCACACTGGGGTTGAGAATTTAGCTCTGTGCTGGTGTGGGCCTTGGAGTCAGGTGAGCTCGGCATCTGTCTGGCTGTGCGACCCTGGAGCACTGTTCACCCTCTCTGAGCAGCTGGATAGCACTGTGCGGGCTTGGGCCCTTCTGGGAGGGAGCAGAGCAGAGCGTGTGGAGGCCTGGGTTCTATCCCTCAGTTCTGCCCTGCTGGCTGTGCTCTAGAGGAGATCCTGTGGGAGCCTTGGTTTACACAGCTGTGCCGTGGTAGGGAGCTGCTTCAAGGTGAGGGGCCCATGCTGCTGTGGACGGGTCTCTCTGGGACTGCACAGACAGGCAGAGCCCTAGGTTTGCTGTCTCATCTGGGATTGGGTTTCTTGTCTGATGAGTGGGATCAACACACCTTGCCGAGGATTTGTGACTTGCTCCACTGGGGCTGTGGAGGAGTGTTTGGGCTGGAACACAGACACCTAAACCTTGAAAGGGAGCCGAGGCTCCGGAAGTGGATTTAGAATTAACAGGGAGGGGTACAGTAAGGAAAAACAGTAAACCCCATGACATAGGGTGGGGGTCAGCTCTGGAGTTGTAGTGGAGCTGTGATGGGGCTGGGCCCCAGGCATGCCGGCCTCTCTGGGCTCTGGCTGTGGCTGGGGGTGAGGCCCGTTTTGCAACCGCTCTTCACTCAGCTCCAAGGGTCTCATCACCCTGAGGTCGCCCTAACCACATGTAGCTTGCAACAGATTTCCTCCAGGTGGTGATAATTTTTTGTTTCTCCTAATTCTCAACTATGTGCTACCTGATTGGGCAGAGAGGGAGGTAGGTTCCAGCTTCAGAGTTAGGGAAACAGCAAAGGTCTGGGGCAGAGTCATGATTCCATGCACAGTGCTGCTGGGCTAGGGGGGCCTCAGGCTCACCTATGGGTGTCTTGCAGGGTCAGGAGACCTTGGGAAATCACGTCTGCATAAGCTTTGGTTCCCTGTCTGTGAATGGGTTGGGTCTGTGCCCATGTTTACTCCTGTAGCTCGGGGATAGTGGTGACACAGCCTCTGAGCTGGGCTGGAGGATTTGCAGAGAAACTTCAAGTTGATTGTGTTGTCCGCAGCTTCCTGTTGGCTGTGTCCTGGGAACTGGCTCTGCCCAGCCTAGATTCACTCTGGGGTATGTGTACATGACAGTGTGACAGTGTGTGCACGTGTGTGCTGGGAGAGGATGATGCTGACAGCAGAGTCAGCATCTCTGGGTGAGCGAGCCATGCACATTCACTTCTGTACACAGCTGCCAGGGAGGCAGGGAGGGAGCATGGCCCAGAAAGATGGTGAGCTTGGCAGATGAGCATCAAGAGGGAATGGAGAGTATTGTCCAGGTCCCATTGGGCAGAGTCCACAGCTGCTTCTCTTGGTTGGCTGGTTAAGGGCATGCAGCAACCTGGGGCAGGTACTGGGCCGCAGCCTTGGGCTGTGTGACCTTGGAACAGCTCTGGCCTTCTCTGGGGCCCTACCTTTCTAGGCTGTTCAGGTAGCTCTTCAGGCTTGGAGTACAAATGTCCCTGGATTAACAGTCGAACTAGTCTGATCGCTGGGTCCTCCAGGCCGTGCGTGTTTCAAGGACGCACCTTTGATGTCTGGTAGCACCGTATGGTGAGCCTTTGAGGTCCAGGCTCTTGTCTGATGCAGAAGACACTCCTACTCCACTGCCCTGGGAGCCATCTGTGGTGCACCATGTCAGCCCCTGAGTTTAGATGCTCTGAGCCAGCAGGGGCCGCCTCTGAAGCTCCTGGAGGGACCCATTGGTGGACACTGCTCCTTAAGGGACCAGAGTCTGAAACAAGGGAACTTTTCCCAGGCTCGCAGCACCTCCCATCTCTTGCCCAAGGCCCTCCTCGGGCTGATGAACTTTAATCACCGGTGATAACCCCAGTCACTGCGCCTCCTTCCTCCTGTGACGTCCCCCTCTAACCATCCTCCCAGCTGTCTGGACCTCTGGCAGAGAACTGTCTGTTCTACACCCTACTCAGATACCTCTAGCTGTCCACAGGGATGCTGCGTGTCCCCTAGCTGACCTCTTAGCCCCTAGGACTAGGTAAGCACATGAATCCTGGACTCCTTCTGCCCCTTTCCTGCCTGTGCACCTTGGAGGTTGGGGGGGGGGGAGTGTTGGGGGGGAGCGTGTAGCTGAGGACGTTTCTGTAGGGGCCACAGGCGTGGCTCCAGCTACATGGAGTCGGGAGCTGCAGGGGGGCCATCTGTGGCCAGAACTTTCCCAGGCAGAAAATCTTCCTCCCCGGCTGGTGCCCCAGGCAGGAGCTATTTTCTGAGGAAGAAGGGGTCTCTCTCCTGGGCCTCAGGTAAACCCACCAGGTTTATAAGGCGGGAGGGCTCTGGGTTGAGGCCCAGCACTGCCACTGATCTACTATTTGGCCTCGGTTTCCCCTTTAACACTAGTTTGAGTGAGAGCCAGGCTCTGGTCTTAGACATTTTTTTAGGGAGTCTGACAAGACTTAGGGGTGGAGGGATGGGAAATGGAAGCCCAATCCCCAGCAGGGTGTCTTCCGCTGGGATGAGGACATCTGCTTGTGGGAGGCTAGGCCAAGCCTCCCTGTCACAGTGTCCTGGGACACTCAGTGCTGCCCCTCCCTATCTTCCCTGGGAGTCTGAGCCTTGCTGGGTGCCCTCACTTGGGCCTTGGGGAGGACAGATGGACGCGGAAGCAGGAATATGTGGCCTTGAGGCGAGCCTCAGCTCACAGCCCCAGTCCTGGGAGAAATGAGGCCAGAGATGCGAAGAGTGGAGCAGGGAGGAGGTGCTGACCAAGTTCAGGCCCTGCCCCACCGCTTGTGATGGGAATGTTCTGTGTCTCAGTGGTTGCTACAGGTCACTGTGGCCCCTTGGATTCCCAGAGTGACTTTTTGATGAGGAACTCTTGACCCTGACCCCCAGAAAGACCCAGGGAGTCTGTGTTCCCAAAGGGCTGTCAGGCGTGGTGAAGGCTGTGGGCCATGTTTGGGGCAGGGAGGAAGGGAGAGCAGGGCTTGGTTGGCACTTTGGACAGACAAAGCCCTCTGGCTGCGTTTTGGGGTCTGAGCTGGCAGGAGAGCATAAGATGGTGTGAGAGACGTTCAGGCTGGAATCATGTCTGGATTCAGACTCTGGTGGCCAGCATGGAAAAGAGGGCTGCTTTGTACCCTATGGGGGACATAGCTTAGTGGTTTGCTGTGTCATCACTTGCCAGGCCTCTCTGCTTTGGGGCTCAGTGTCGCCTTCTGCATCTAGGACTGGAGATCTCTGTAGTTCCCCATAGAAGATGAGGGGCCAATACTATCATGCTATGTGTCACTCCACGCCCTCCACTCTGGCTTCGAGAATGCTCTCGTGAGTGGGGGGAGGGGAACAAGGACTCCTCTCCTAGATCTTCTCTGGGATGCTGTGTCTGCCCCTGAGACCAGTTGCTCTGAACAGAGACAGAGAAAACCAGAAACCTGGGGCTCCCTGGAAGGGCTCACTGGTGGCTGCTGCCTTTTGGAGGGATAGCATCTGGGAGAGGAGAACCCCTGCCTCAGCCACCACACCCACCTTTCCCTGTTGTGGTCAGATCCCTCACTTGATGCCACAGCCATGGGGACTCTGAGGCTGCTGCTGTCCCCCAGGTATCCTGAGAGAAAATCTACAGGGAAAAAGAGAGTCAGGCGTGCCGTGCAGGCGTCCCCGGGACGTCCCTTTACTATAGCTATGCTAGGAATGGTAGCTCTCAATTACTCAGCTCTCTGCACCTTCTAACCCACTTCATTCACTGCAGCCCAGGACTGGACAGAGAAATGATTTGCCAAAGCCCCATAGCAGGTCCAGACTCAGGGAAGGGGGCAGGCTAGCTCTGGCCTCTTGGCCTCCTTTGTCACATGAGACCCCAGGCTTGTGCAGAAATACCCTGTAACATCTGCGCTCTGCAGACTCTCTGGCCTGTGCCTTGGCGAAACGCTGGGAGAATTCATGCAGACTTATGTGCTGCTGATAGCCTCTTTGACTCCAGAGTTCAACTGGAGGCAGAAAACCCAGCCAGAGGTGAAGGGAGGTCACATCGATCCCCCCGGAAAGGGCTGGGCCTGCTTCAGGTCCACCCTCGTGATTTCAGGAGAACGTGGGAGCTGCCCGGTTGAGGAGTGTTTAGAGAAGATTCTGTGGCCACAGGGTCCTACAGAGCACGAGGGAGACCCCAGTTATTTCTGCAGCTGTCTTCAGCCAAGCTCTTTCAGAGCCACCTTCCTAGACAAGGCTGGGACTCCCACCCGCTGCTGGACGGTAAGTTCTGGCCCTGTGGTAGCTGGTTGCAGAGTTCAGGAGGTGACCTAAAGGCACATCGGATGCTAAGCCCCTGCTGCTGCTGTGGAGGGAGCCATGGAGCATGCCAGGCTCTGGGCTAGGACAGGGAACAAAGAAGGAATAGGCCAGACTTGGTTGCTGTAAGGAGATAGACAGGACATGTGAAGTCTGAAAGGGCTCCCAGGAAGGGGTCCCTGGTGGCCGTGAGGTCCTTAGGGGTTGAGCTAACAGAGAGAATTTGGGAGCGCAGAGCTGGCCCTGCAGCTCCTGGAAGAATGAATGTCCCGGTCAAAGGTCTGGGGCCTGAATGCCTGCACATGTTCTAGGAGGCCGGAAGGAGTCACAGGCTATTCTTGAGCCTCGACTTTAGACTGTGCCCTGTGGGGAAGGGAGCGTGGGAGTGTCCAGGACTGGACCTGATCCCACTCCTACCCTCTGCTGTGTGGCAGAGTCATGAAGAAGCAGTTTGTGGTGCTGGGCCTGTTGGCTGTGGTTCTGATACTGGTCATCATCGGTCTCTGCCTCTGGCTACCCTCCGCCTCCTCCACGCAGCCCGACCATGTGTACGCCAAGGCCGCTGTGGCCGCTGATGCCAAGCGCTGCTCGGAGATTGGCAGGTGAGCAGGACCATCTGATCTGGGGCAGGGTGGGACAGTGGGTGCCAGGACCGGGCCCTGGAAGACAGCCATGCAAGTAGACCTGGGCAAGACCTTTGTCTCTCTGGACTCAGTTTCCCCATCTATAAACAGGCCGCCTGGACTAGGGGTGTCTTCAGTGCATTGAGCTGCTGCCTTTTCCCTTGACCCTTTCTGCAGCCTCGGGTCAGGAGAGAAGTGGCTGTGACCCCTGAGAGTGAGGCCTTGGTCTCTCAGCAACCATGACGGTTCCTTATCTTAGTTCTATCTGGATGACCCTGTCTATCCCTGTACCTGTCTATCTGGATAAACCCTGCTATTCTATTTTCCATTTCTATTTCACATTATATACAAAGATCAGTTTCCACGTAAAGACTTAAGCAGAGAAAATATCATTAATAAAAAAATAACTAAACTGGGCCCAAGTGGCATACTCCTCTAATCCTAGCTACTTGGGAGGCTGAGGCAGGAGAATTCCAATTTGAGGTGAACTAGGGCAACTTAGTGAGACTCTATTTCAAAGTGAAAAGCAAAAAGCCAGCTTAAAAAAACTGAATGCTATTATACTGGTTGATTAGAAAAGAAAACAGTCATATGTATGTATGTGTGTATATATATATATATATTATTAATTTTTTTTTTTTTTTTTTTTTTTTGTTCTGGGAATCAAACTCACAACCTCACGCTTGCCAGGCAGGCACTTACTTACGCTGCTGAGCTAAATCCCCAGCTCTTAATTTAAATCTTTTTTTTTTTTTTATACCAGTACCAGGGATCGAACTCACGACCACACACTTGCAAGGCAGGCGCTTATGCCACTGAGCTAAATCCTCAGCCCCTAAATCTTTAATAAACTAACAAAAAACCTAGCCAGGCACAGCACATGCCTGTAATCTCAGTTCTTGGGAGGCTAAGGCAGGAGGATTGCTGTCAGTTCAAAGCTAGCCTGGGTTACATAGTGAGAACCTGTTTAAAAAAAAAAAAAAGTCTTACAGCTTCCTCCTGTATCACCCTGTGCTGTGGGCAGGGTGGCTTGGTGGAGGTGGGTAGGGGGATGGCAGGGTATGTATGGGGACTGCGGTGTTTAGGATCTTATTGTCCCATGTGCCACTGGCAGGGACATGCTGCTGGATGGAGGCTCGGCGGTGGACGCGGCCATCGCAGGCCTGCTGTGCACCGGACTCATGAATGCTCACAGCATGGGCATTGGCGGCGGCCTGTTCCTCACCATCTACGACAGCGCCACGGGTGAGTGCCTGGGGAGGGTGGTGGCAGAGGGGGTGTCTGACAGGGTGGGCACGCGTGGCCCCCGGGCCCGCTCGGAGGTTTGCTCCGCCTGCCTACCTGCTGCTGCTTCCAGGGAAAGCCGAGATTATCAACGCCCGAGAGGTAGCGCCCAGGATGGCATACGCCAGCATGTTCAACAGCTCACAGCAGTCCGAGGAAGGTAAGCACGTGGGAGGCTCAGGGCCTGGCTGCAGGCTCAGGGTGGGCCCTGGGGAAGCTGCTCGGCCACACGAGCATGGCCCTGTCTGGACCGGGACACCACCGGTGCTCCACTCCTTCTGGGGCCTGCAGCATCCTCCCGTGGTGACCACTCAAGCTTTGTAGCCCACAGAAGAGAGCAGGTCTTCGTTCCTTTTATTCAGGCGCCTCCGAGGCCACCCTGTGGTCATAGGTAGAAAGGACAATCCCTCTGCCCACTGTATCCATGCAGTCCACATCCTCAGACTGGGGCGACTGCAGGTGACAAGAACTCAGGAGAGCTCAGGAGTGCACCTGAGCCAGGCACGGTGTGCAGGCTGTGATCCCAGCATTCTGGGAGGATGAGGCAGAAGGATCATAAGTTCAAACCCAGCCTTGGCAGTTTAGCAATTTAGAGAGACCCTGTCTCAAAATCAGAAATTAAAAAGGGCTGAAGACACATCTCAGTGTGAGGACTTTGAGTTTAATCCGCAGTGTGGAAAAACACTATGTTCATACTGAACATATATGGATGTTTTTCCTTGTCTTTATTCCATAAGCGGCTGTTTCCATTCATTTACATTAGATTAAGTACGATAAATAATTAAGAGATGATTATCCAACCTGTGACCCAGAGGTTGAGGTTGAGTTGAGTGTGCTGTTAAAAGTATTTTTAATTCGATTTCCAATAGCAAAATGTGTGTGTGTGTGTGTGTGTGTGTGTGTTTAGGCCAGGCACGGTGGCACACGTCTGTAGTGCCAGCACTTAGGAGGCTGAAGCAGGAGGATCTTCCCCCAGTTTGAAGGCAGGCTGAGCTACATAGCAAGACTTTGTCTCAAAAAACAAAGATATTTTTTAAAGGAAGTTTTGTTACTTATTAACTATGTTATATATTTTATATGTGGCTCAATATAATTCCTCCTCAGTGAAGCCAAGGGAAACCAAGTGTTTTCAGCCCTGAGGCTGCAGGTTGGACACACAGGATTGGACGTCCTGACATGGGAGGATGTGTACAGGTTAACTAAATATTGTACCGTATTATAGAGAGCACCTGAGTATGCATGGACTTAGTCCATTAGGTTCCAGGATGAGTCCTGGCACGAGTGCCCCACAGATGCTAAGGGACAGCTGTGTTATTGTAACAGCTCAGGCCCCTGGGGTCACTGGCCCTGGGGTATAAGGAGGGGATTCTGTATTGATTCCCATTTTACAGGTGGTGATGCTGAGGCCCAGAGAAATCATACAAACTGGTTGAGGTCACACAGCTGGGTATGGTAAGGAAGAGATTGAATTCAGCTGTGGAAATCCTGTGTTTCAAGCAGGCTGCTCATTCATTGATTCATTCATTCATTCGTCAGGCCTGCCATGGGGAGTTGGGCAGAGTCTGCCTTTTCTGATCTAACCTTAAGTAGAGAGGAGACCCTCCCCTGAATTCTTCAGGTAGATGAGGGGAAGCCAGTGGTCCCCAGAAGTGCCACTCAAAGCAGGGAGAATGGGTCACAGAATAAGAGTTTGGGAGGTGGAGACACCACCCTGGTGGCCGGTCCGACACTTCTGGGGAGATCCTGGGTGTCTTCTGAGTGACCGTTCTGTGTTCCTCCCCAGCATACATAATCTTTGATTTTTTTTTTTAATACTCACTGAGAAACTCCAGATAGTTAGGGATGAAAGTGTCCACTGCATGGAAATGCTGGAATCTGTTTTGTTTTTGGAGTGTTTTAACTAGTTTTTCTTTTTAGCAACAACAAAAAGTAAAAACAATGATACAGAATTTCAAAACAAAATAATAGGAGATTAATACTAATATTGCGCACTGTAACCTTAAAAGTAGTTGTTCAGGGCTGGGGATTTAGCTCAGCGGCTTACGCACCTGCCTTGCAAGCAGGTAGTCGTGAGTTCCATCCCTGGTACCGATTAAAAAAAATAGTTGTTCAGATTGCAAGATACAGGCATGAAAAAAATGGTCGATCAAACAATGAAACACAAACTATTCTCTTTTTTTTTGGAGTAGGGGCTATTTAATTTAAAAGCACTCTTTGGACAGGAAAAAGTTCATGTCTGTGATACTGTTTTTTATGCTACCTCATTTGAACAATGTGTATTGAGTATCAAACATTATTTTTGAAGGGAATATTTTTGGAGAAAAATACCTATCTGGAATCTTTTCCAAATTCTGAATTTTTTTTCAAACTGTCCTACTTGGTGACTAGAGATTTGTGGTACAGTTATCTATCTAGTGTTTTCCCTTCTCCCTTTTCTCCTTTCCCCTATCGCAGTTGGTCTTTCCTTTCTAGAACATTCTGTCCCTTCCCCTTTCACAATCTCTATTGTATGTTTTGGTTCTTATTTACTCTTTCAGTTGTTTGCATTAGGGAGACAATAGTGTATTTACACACCAAGCCGGACTTAGCAAATGCTGGAATCTCAAGGACTTAGCAACCTGCAGACCCCTGGAGTTTACTTACTTAACTAGGATTTACTTACAGCACTGGGCACTGCTCCCAAAGCCGGGGTATAAAACAAAAACAGAAACACCTCTATAACCTGGGCAGCTGGCATCCCAGCTGGTAGGGGAGGCTGCTCGGATGCCAGCGTACCACATGCTGTGGGGACAGTAGAGCTGGGGGGAGGGAGCTGAGGGAGGGGGATCTTGGAGAGTGTGCTGGTCAGGGAGGGGACATCTGAGCAGAGACTGGGGGTGAGGATGGGTGGGTGTAGCCCTGAGGGGTTAAGGGATGATGGGGAAGATTGAGCCATCCAGGTGGAGTGGGCTGGGCCAGAGCCCTGCAGGGAGCCATAGAATCTGCCAACAAGAGGCCCAGGAGGAGGAGGAAGACAGGGGCCCCAGAGGATGGCCTGGGCCTTGGCTGGGTGGGACCTCATAGGTCACTGTGGACACCTCCCTCTCCTTCTCCTCCAAGTGTCTGAGAGGAGGAAGGGAATGCACCCTGTGGCTAACAGGACTCCTTGGGCTGCTGTGTTTGGGCAGGGACCTGTTAGGCAATCACCCCAGTATTTCAGGGAAAGCAGAGAGTGGGGGACAGTGGCTAGTACCAAAAATGCCCAGATGACAGAGCTGGCAGTCTGCTAGCAGTTTGGGTAGGATGCATGCGTGGGGAGTCCTGGAGGACCCCAAGGTCTCTGAGGGTACCCAATAAACAGGGTGACCAGAAAAGACAGGCAGGGCTGTTAAGGTATGGTTTGAGTGAGTGCTTGGCTTGGCAGTGCTATTTAGGGTATGTCATGTCGAGATGCCTGTTTTGAATGTAAGGGGATCCTTTTAAAAAATTTTTTTAATTTGTTTTTATTTTTATTTATTAATTTTTGGTACCAGGGATTGAACTCATGACCTCATGCTTGCCAGGCAGGTGCCATACTGCTGAGCTATATCCCTGGCTCCTCTCCTTTTTTAAAAAAAGAGAATAAAAGCAAAATAAATAAATAAATAAATAAATAAAAGAATAAAAGCAAACAAAATAAAACAGAATAAAGCTAATTAAAACAAAACAGAGAAAATGATGCAATACTTCAAAGAAAGGTAATAGGAATTCAACAGTGGCTACCATAATGCTTTTTATTATCTTCAAAATAGCTGCCCATGCCATCAGATATAACAAAATCAAACAAAACAGAACAGAATAAAACCAATCAAAACAAAATGATGAAAGCAATATAGGACTTCAAGATAATAGGAAATCAACAGTGGCTACCATAATATATCTTGTTATCTTCAAATCCCATGCCATCAGATATAACAAAATCAAAACAAAACAGAATAAAACCAAACCAAACCAAGCAATGAGAATGATACAGGCCTTTAAAACAATATCTTGGGAATCAGCAATGGCTACCACCTTCAGAAGTGTCGGGGGATCCTGGAAGCTGGTTCCTAGAGCAGGGGGAGACCACCAAGAGAAACAGGAGGGGCTGGGGGACAGAGGAGCAGGCAGAGAAGAGAGGATCCAAGTGGGCCGAGTGCAGGGTGGCTCAGGATGAAAGAATGAACCCAGTTAGACGGAGTGTGACGATAGGTTGAGGCATTCTTTTTTTGGTGGGGGAACAGTGTGTTAAATGACAGACCTTTAGGTAAGCATGGTGCTGTATGCCTGCAATCCCGGCCTTTGGGGGGCTGAGGCAAGAGGAACACCAAGAGTTCAGGCTACGTAGTGAGTTGGAGGCCAGTCTGAACTGCAAAACAAGAGCTTGTCTCAAAACCTCTCCCCTCCCTGCAAAAAAAAAGATCAGTTCTTCCCAGCTGGGCAAGTTATAGGATCATAATAACCTGGCTCTCGGAAACACGCCTCACTTCAGGGTGGGATATGTAGTTCTCGAGCTGCAGTGGTCAAACCTTGGAATAACCAAAATGGGCCCCAGCACCTCAGTGGTAAGAGCAGGAGGGACCCTAGGAGGGGGCAGGGGCCCTAGCTGTACCTCTCTGGGCAAAGCCATCAGTGTCTAGCTTTGCATGTAGTACCTCGGTGGGCAGAGGGGCTCCGTGGGCAGGCAGGCCCAGGGGTCTGTGTCCAGGGAAATCAAGGGCTCCTGGCAGCCCGCACTGGAATCTAAGAGCCTGTATAATCAGATGGGGGAAACAGATCTGGAGAGAGGACAGAGCAAGGAGAAGATTAGGACTCGCAGTAGCAAAGAGGACAGGTGTCCTTGCCTGGGGTTGGTGTAGTTTTGAGCTCCCCGTAGGGGCAGGCCAGGACCTGATCTTTAACAATTCTGGTTAGAGCTCAGGCATCTCATGGGACAGAGAGGCCTTGTGGCTCGGGGTGGCTCAGACTGAGAGACAGGAGGGTCTGGCTTTGCCTAGTCTCACTCGGAGACCAGGCTCCTGGCACAGCACTATAGACACTGGGACACTGATCTGGGACAGCGAAAGCTAACCCATGTGACAGCAGCTCCCCCTTCTGTCTCCTGCCGAGATTCCTGTCTTGTGCCTGTCAAAATGATCTGAAAAATCTTTTCTTGGGCTGGGAGTAAAACTCAGAGGCAGAGCACTTGCCCAGCATTTTTGAGGCCCTAGGTTTGATCTCCAGCTGCACGCACGCATGTATGCTCCTACGCATGCATGCTCATAAGCACGCACGTATACACTCACATATGCATGCAAGTATGTACGCACGCACGTATACGCACACATATGTATGCACGTATGCACGCACGCATACGCGCTCCACTTCCTTGGAAGCCTCACTAATCTCTGTATCTAATGGGTCGGGGAAGTTGCCTGGGATACCGCCCTGCTGGGGACCACCAGCCCCCCCTCTCTCCGTCCGCAGGCGGACTGTCAGTGGCAGTTCCCGGTGAGATCCGCGGCTATGAGCTGGCACATCAGCGGCACGGGCGGCTGCCTTGGCATCGTCTCTTCCAGCCTAGCATCCAGCTGGCCCGTGAGGGCTTTCCTGTGGGCAAGGGCTTGGCAGGAGCCCTGGAGAGAACACGGACTGTCATTGAGCAGTCACCTGCCCTGTGGTATGTCTGCAGGCGTGGGCCTGCCACCCAGGGTCCCTGCCACCCGGGCTGGGAATGCTGATGGAGCTGAGCTCTGCTTTCAGGAACCTGCACTGGGTGGGCGACTTCGGGACCCTTAGTGGACAGTGGTAGGCTGTGTAGCTGGAGGGACAAGGGACACAGGCCCTGAGGGACAGGGCTACCCATCTGTGGACAGGCCCTGCCTATCCTTTGCTCTCCCTCTCTTGGGAACAAAGGGGAGCCACGCAGATAGAGGGGGGCTGTGCTTGGGGGTGGTCTGGCTGATTCCACCTCACCTGCTGCCTTCCGTGAATTTCTCTGCCCCAGTGAAGTTTTCTGCCGGCACGGGAAGGTGCTTAAGGAGGGAGACACGGTGACCATGCCACGGCTGGCCGACACGTATGAGACGCTGGCCCGAGAAGGGGCCCAGGCCTTCTACAACGGCAGTCTCACAGCCCAGATTGTGAAGGACATCCGGGATGCTGGTGAGTGGGTGGCCCTGGGGCCTGATTGGGGTACTGCATGGTAGAATCTGGAGCCAGGAGCCAGACCGCAAGGCCACGACTTGGGCACTGGACACTTCTTGGCAGGGGAGGGTCAGTGATGGCCCACATAGGACCACAGTCCTGGTTCAATTGCAGAATCTATGCGGTCCGGAGAGAAGGTGCCTTAATGTAGGTCCAGGCAGGAACTGGGGCTGAGGAAGCACTCAGGTGTGGCCTGAGGCCCCAGGAGTCCTTGTAGGGAAAGCTGGGTGAGCTCAGGTCCGAACAGAGGTTCCTCATAGGTGGAATGGCTTGGGCTGAGATGCAGAGGGGTTTTGATTCTCTGGGATGGCCTTGGGAGAGAAGCATTTGGAGGGGCTTTTGGTTCAGTTGGCTTTTGTTGTTTGTCCATTTTTGAGATGGGGTTTCGCTCTGCGGTGCATGCTGTCCTTGAACTCACTATGTAGTCCAGGCTGGCCCCAAACTCACAGCGATCCTCCCCTTTCTACCTCCCAGGCTCGGGGACTACAGGTGTGGATCCCCACGCCCAGTCGGAGGAGCTCTGTGGGCTTAGCTTTGGGCTTTTTTGTGTTATGTTTGTCCATGTTTAATGGAAGGGCGATTAGATTAGCATGTGGACCTTTACTACTGATGCTAGGAAGTAGCCCGTAACCACTGTTTGAAGCCAGTTTCCTGGAGGATTAAGGGTCTCCCTCCAGCCACCCATTCATCAAGGGAAGAGGCAGAGGACATACAGGAGCAGGTGTTCTCCACTTGGGAAGGCCTGGTGGCCACAGAGAGAGAGGACAAGGCCTGGGAAGAAAGCAGCTTGAGGGCAGCCGGGCCAGCCTGGCTGGTGCAGCCATCACTGTTGGGGAGGATGGAGGCCTGAGCCCCACAGTAGGGTGAGGCTCCCAGCGTGGTGTCCCTGTGACGACTGCTGGGGGTGCAACCATCTTGCCCCTGGGGTGCAGCCCTGTCTTTCTCCTCACCAGTGAAGCCCTTCATAACTCTCCTCCATGCAGACCCCGGACCCCAGGAGTGTACCCTGGTTCCTCCTTTACGGTGCAACCCCTTCCTTCTGCCCAGTGGTGCAGCTCAGGGCCCCCCCAACTCATCCCAGATCCCTACCGTGGTGCAGCCCCATCCCCACGTCCACCCGAGCTGCTGTCACCTTGCAGGGGGCATTATGACTACTGAGGACCTGAACAACTACCGTGCTGAGCTGATCGAGCACCCACTGAGTATCAGCCTTGGGGACTCGGTACTGTACACACCCAGCGCCCCACTCAGTGGGCCTGTGCTGGTTCTCATCCTGAACATCCTCAAGGGTGAGTGGCCCCACTATGGCCCTGCAGAGGGGCGCGTGGCTCTGCCTCAGTCTCCCCATACTCCACGGCTGCGGCATCTACAGCCAGGCCTCTGCACACTTGTCTCTCCGTCCCTGAGCAACCTCAGTGCAGCCCTGCCCCAGGGCACCCCCTGGGCATGCAGGAGGTGGTGTGAGTGAGCAGGGATGTCCAGGGTGGGCAGAGGTCAGGGCCTGGAGGACAAGGAGTGGTCAGTCAGGGTGGGTCTGGTCCAGAAAGGACGTCTGGGCTTAGACTGTGGAGCCCTCTGGCTGGGCGTGTGCAGCCCTGCCTTCCTTTCTGAGCTAACTACTGCTTCTCATAGAGGGGCAGCATGGCTCAGGGAGGCTTTAACCTTTTGGGCCTGCCTGTAAACATCTGGCTCTGACCAAGCAGGGTACAACTTCTCCTCGGCGAGCGTGAGCACACCTGAGCAGAAGGCCTTGACGTATCACCGCATCGTGGAGGCCTTCCGGTTCGCCTATGCCAAGAGGACCCTGCTTGGGGACCCCAAGTTTGTTGATGTGACTAAGGTAAAGGGCTGGCTTACAATGGGCAAGGGTGAGGTCCCTAGAGCTACCCTAGGCTCACGTGCTTTCTGAATCCATTTCTGCCACCAACTCTGATTGGGATAGGGGTGTCTATAGTGTGCTGGGATGCACTGGTTACCCCAAATCCTAGCCTGTGCTTTGTGGAGCTTACATTTGGGAGGGCTGGGGAAGCAGACTTGATAATTGGTAATTAGTGCTCCCCCTTTCTGGCCAACTCCTACCTCAGGGCCTTTGCATATGCTGGGCCTTCAGTTTAGAAGGTCCTGGTATGGTCAGTGCTGAGGTGAGAGATCAATGGGGCTGTTGCTAAGAAGGATGTACTAAGGTTAAGGAACCAAGGGGCAGAGGTCACAGCAGCCTTCTCCCTAGTCACACCCAGGAACTAAAGCTTCCCACATCCCTCTCTTGGGCCCAGCATCACCTGGCCCACTTATGTGGCCAGATGTCCAGGTTCACACAGGCCTTTAGTAGAATCCCTGTTGCATCCTTTCTTGTCAGGGGCCTAGGTCCCTCCTTATCTCCTTGGATCCCTGGCATTCCCCGTGGACTTGCAGACCCGTGAGCAGTCCAGAGGAGCCTGTGTTCCCCAGTGGGCATTCTGTACCCCTACCTGCCCCTTGCCAGTGACCTGTGTCTTCTCTCCAGAGGGGCAGAAGCCTCCCCATCTGGCCCAGGTTGGCCCTTCCTTCCATTCCTCAGGGTGCAATCCCACAGTGCTCCTCTTTGCCTCCCTCCGTGGTCCCCTATAAAAGTTCCTTCGGGGGAGAGAGGCCTGCTGTCAGTTAGAGCGAACTCGCCAGACTCACGTCACTCCCTTCCTGCATACTCTGGTGGTGCTGGGGGTGACCCCACGAGCTAAGCAAGCATCCACTGCTGAGCTAAGCCCCAGCTTAGTAACTTGTATTTGATGGTCCTACTGATGGAACTCAGGGACCTCATGCATGTTAGACAAGCACACTGCCATGGAGCCACTTCCCTGGTGATTGATCCCAGGGCCTTTAGAAAACCTTTTTTGTCTTTTAATTTTTTTATTTTGTTTTGTTTTGTCTTTTTGAGACAGGGTCTCCTATGCAGTTCAGGCTGAACTTGAGCTCACTCTGTAGCCCAGGCTGGTCTCGAATTCACAGCGATCCTTCTGCCTCAGCCTCCTGAGTGCTGGGATTACAGGCGTGAGCCACCACGCCCAGCTTTTTCTTTTAATTTTTTTTTTTTTTTTGTCTTTTTATCAGTACCAGGGATCAAACTCACGACTGCCTGCTTGCAAGGCAGGCGCTTATGCTGCTGAGCTAAATCCCCAGCCCCGTTTTCTTTTAAATTTTGAGACAGGGGCTAAATTGCCCAGCTGGACCTGAACTTGAGATTATCCTGCCTCAGTCTCCTACAGTGCCAGGATTATAGACACACACCACTGTGCTCAGCATATCCTCTATTCTTCCCCCCTCCCCACATGGGGCAATTCACCATCTCTTGCATAGCTGTCCATAGCCTGCTTCTTATCCCCCACTTGGTCAGAGGAACCCTGTGAAACAGCTTTCCAGTAAGCTCCTTCCTCTGCCCCAGGGCCACGAGGCTCAGGGCAAAAGCCAGAGGCATCCTTGTGGGACCCATGAGATTCCACAGAATGGGCCCTGACCATTGTTTTCGAGCTTCTCTTCACTTATCTCATGCTTTCTGCCTGGTAGCCACAGGCTGGCAGCACCTGCCTCAGGGCCTTTGCACTCACCCTTAGGCTTCCTTCTGGGCTCTTTTCGTATGGCGCCTTCTCTAAGAAGTCCTTCCTGACCACTCTACCTGAACTCCACCCTGCTTATTACTAGCACTTTTCCTGCCCGCTATTTTCCCCCTTGCCATGTGGGCAGGTATCTACCTGTCTGTCCTCTGCTAATTCCTCATTCCTGGCATGCAGTAGAGGCCCATAAATACTTGCAGGAAAGAATGTGGCTTGAGGGATGGACTGACAGCAAAGACCGAAGCTAGAGAGGGGAGGAAATGGGCCTTGGGAGGTACTAGGCCCTATGGGCCCTGGGGACCCCAGGAGGCTTAGGGTACAGGCAGGTTAGGGTCAGTCCACTGTTGGGGGTTTCCTAAGACCTGCTCGAACAACCCTGTGCCCCACTCCCCGCCCTCCCTCCCCACCCCTCAGGCCAGCTCTGGGGTCTCGGCAGGTCATCCACAACATGAGCTCCGAGTTCTTTGCAGCCCAGCTTCAAGGCCGAATCTCTGACGACACCACATACCCGGTCTCCTACTATGAGCCTGAATACTACACACCTAATGACGGGGGCACTGCCCACTTGTCCGTGGTCTCTGAGGACGGCAGTGCTGTGTCCGCCACCAGCACCATCAACCTCTAGTAGGGGCTGTGAGGCCGTGGATGCAGTCCGGGGGCTACCTGCATGTCCCCCAAGGGCCCGCCTTGCTTGGGCCTCCCAGGGGCTGAGCTTGTGCAGGGGGGAGGTGGGTAGGGACCCGGCAGGGCTGCCAGGGTGACACAGCTCTCTGACCCGATCCTCCACAGCTTTGGCTCCAAGCTCATTTCCCAAGTCAGTGGCATCCTGTTCAACAATGAGATGGATGACTTCAGCTCTCCCAACTTCACCAACCAGTTCGGGGTGTCCCCTTCCCCGGCCAACTTCATCGAGCCAGGTGCAAGCTGGGGATCTGTGCTGGGAGGGAGCTGGTTTCCTCAACAGGCAACTGACTGGCATCTCTGTCCCCTCCCGTGGGCCATAGGGAAGCAGCCGCTCTCGTCCATGTGTCCGTCCATCATTGTGGGCAAGGATGGCAAGGTCCAGATGGTGGTGGGAGCCTCCGGAGGCACACAGATCACCACATCCACTGCGCTGGTACGTGCCGCCCGCTGCCCTCCCTGCCCGTGTCCCTGAGCCGTGCTGACCCCTCACCACCTCTCTCCCCCAGACCATCATCCATAGCCTCTGGTTTGGCTATGATATGAAGCGGGCAGTGGAGGAGCCCCGGCTGCACAACCAGCTTCTGCCTAATACCACCACGCTGGAGAAGGATGTTGATGAGGTGAGCTGGAAGGAGGGGAAACTGAGTCACAGTGAGGGACCATAGAGGTTTCTGGGCTGCAGGCCTGTATCTTCTGAGTCATTGCAGAGCGGGCCATGGCTGTCATCCTCTGCCCAGGTGACATGGTCCTTACGCCTGCTTCCTGGGTCATCCTGAGCCCTTGTGCAATGAGGGCCAAGCCACCTGCTCCAATGGGACCTCATAGGCCGGGTGCCCCAGCTTGCTCTTCCTGGTCACTTGGTTGGAAATGGCACCTCGGGCTCTGAGAGGTCTGTGACCACCCGGGAGTGGTTCGTACCACACCTGAGGTCCTGTGATCTCCTCTCCTCTCACCCCTAGGCAGTGGTTGCAGGCTTGAAAACCCGGCACCACGAAACCGCGTTCACTTCTACCTTCATTGCTGTGGTCCAGGCCATTGCTCGAACAGCCAGGGGCTGGGCAGCTGCCTCGGACTCCAGGAAAGGCGGGGAGCCAGCCGGCTACTGAGCACGCGCTTGGGATAACCAAGACTGACCAGCAACCCAGGGCCAAGATACCAGGGCCGAGTGGGATTTTGGGGGGTGTGCTCTCTTGATGAGTGGCACAGCGGCACAATAAATGGGGCCCCTGTGCGGAGCTCTGGGCAGTGTCGCAGGCTGGGTCCCCCCTCCCTGGGCTTCAGAATCCTGCCTGTGAAATAGAGCCATCTGACGGGGCAAAAACTGAGGGCTTGCACTTCCTAATATCAGCCGCCAGGGGGAGCCCCGGCCTTGACATTGACTTGGGCAGATGGCCACCAGCGGCGGCTGTCAGGCCGGGTACTGCTCAGACCCTGGAGTGTCCCTGCTCATGCTGCCCAGGACATATGGAGGTGAAAGTGGAGTCTGAGAAGTGGGGACTGGGCAAGAGGCGAAAGAAAACTTCTGTAGAGCTGCGCCTGGTGTCACTTTCCAAGCACAAACCGAGTCAAGCCTAAACATGCGATCAACTCCAGGAAGCCCAGTTCTCAGGGACGGCTCACTGGAGGACATCCACGATTCCCCGAGGCAAAGGCAGCCCGGCAGCCAGTGGGGGTCGGAAAGGATACTGCCAGGCACAGCATCCCACGCCTGGACCAACCCCTGCAGACTTGTGCTGGGGCTGTTTAATCCACTCTTCACATGTGGTATACACATGCAGTATACACGCAACGTACGCATAGTATACACACAGTATACACATGTGATACATGGGGAAGGGCTGGTGAGAGAGGGGGTCACAGCTCAAACACTAGATTTCACCCCCAACCTGTGAGTACAGGTAGGGGGCCCAGAGGGCAGGGAAGGGGTTGGAGAAGACTAGAAAACTTGGTGCTTCCAAAGTGCCCCAAGGAAATGGGGTTTTGTGCTGCAGGGTCCTGAGCCCTGCGGGTTCCATTTCTGAAATCCCAAGGAAAGAGATGAAGGCTGGCAGGGAGTGGCAGCCCCTCCTCAGACCTTGTATTAACCCAACAGTCAAAAAGCCATGGTCCCATTTGCAGGGGAAAAGACTGAGGCCCTAAGGGGTGGCTCAAGGTTGCACCATGAGGTTCCCTGATCACCTATATGCTGGCCAGTGAATTTAGCCCTGTTCTCCAGGCCCCGTGAGGGTTACTTCAGGTTTGGAAGACTTTAGTTCTTTTGTCCTCCCTTCCCATCATCCCTGCCTCTGCCTGCTCCTGGAGGACATTCAGGGCCCGTCCCAGTTGGGCCTCCGCAGTGGAGCCTCTGGCCAGGCCCAACCTGATGATACCCATCGTTTCCCTTGGCCTCTGCACACTGAGCCCCGCCAGGCCAGGATGGCTGGCAAGAGGAGAGGGGAGGCAGGCTGCCCAATCCCTTAACTCTGCTGTCCTTTTTGTCCCCTGTGTCCTGGCCTCTGAGCTCTGAGGGCTGTGGTGGCTGGGTGGCCTGGCCCCACTTAGCAATGCATTTTGGTTCTGGTTGGGCAATGTCCTGCATGGGGGTCAGTTGGGGCCAGGAAGAGGCGCCCACGGCCCCGCCCCCCTCAAGGCAGCATGGGAACAGGCCTCCAGGAGACGCCCTGTCTGGCACAGGCTGGCCAGGGACTCCACACACAAGGCCTGGCAGGCTGCATGGCCTGTGAAACACCAATCCCTCTCTGGACTGCATTTGTGTGCTCTATTGAGAAGTGGGCTCCAACTGTGTGCTGAGACCTCGGGACTGGCAGGGATCAGGGAGAGGAAGCTGGGCGGCTATGTGTCTAGGGATCCTGCTCACGGCTCCTGTGCCCTGCACCCATGCTAAGCTGGACCAAGGGAGCGTCTCAGTGGGTCCTCACTCCCCTAGCTGCCCATCAGACACCCTAAGGCCTGGGAAGGACCCAGGCCAATGTCCCCAGAGGGGGAGACTGTGTCAGCACAGGACCCAGGCAGGGTGGCTCCACTCCCCAGAATCCCAAGGCTACTTTTGCAAGTCAGCAGGTCCCAGGAGTAGGTGGTCCAGTGACACTGTTGCCAAGGGGTGAACATGTGGTCAGTCTGAATCCCCGTCATAGATCGGTGATGCTGTAGCCTCTGGGCTGGGCTGTGGCTGAGCTGTGCTGAGTGACGTGCCTTGGGTCCCCCCATCTCTTCAGCCCCACTCCTGTACCTCATGGATAACCAGCTGAGCTGTCCCTACATGGGGCTAGCAAAAAGGGCAGGATGGGGGTGGAGCTCCACCCTGATGGGGGGCCAGCTGCTGAGCCTGTCCAGGGTGGGAGCTGGGCTGCCCCAGCTCCATTGGCCTGCAATGCCAGCAACTAGGGAAATGGCATAGGGGCTCCTGGGGACCCGGCACCCCAGGCACAGAATCCTAAAGCATTACTAAAATTAGGTGAACTTGCGCAAAGTTGGGCTGGCGAGAGGGGCTGTAGGACCAACTGGCACTGAGTGAGTTAACCAGCGCAGCTGTCTCCTCTTTGCAAGGAAAAACTCCTCCTAGATGCCTGGCTTCCCGCCAGGGCCAGCACAGGGATGAAACTGGAAGAGGGCCTGTGGTTACAACTGCCTCTGTGGTGAGCGCTTACAGAGGACAGCAGCCCTGCCACTGCTGTCTGTCCGGCTCTCCATCTGTCCATAACCCCGTCTGGCTGGCTGCTCACTGTTCATCTTTAAACCCATCTTTCCACCTAACTGTAAGCTCATCTCGGTCCAAATGTCTGTGTGACCATCCTGTTTGTCCAACTGCCTGACCTGAATGTCAATCCATGTTTGTCTGTCCCAGCCCACCAGTTTTTTTTCCATCTGTACAATCATCTGTGAGTCCATCCGCACCTCTTACTGTCCATTTATCTGCCTAGCCATCTGTCCCTCTGTCCATTGATCTGTCTGCCCATCTGCTTCTCTCTTCCCCCTGGGCCGCCGAGCCATGGCCTGGGGCCACAGGTCCATAGTCAGCCTGGTCCTGCTGGGGCTGGGGCTGGCGCTGGTCATCACTGTGCTGGCCGTGGTACTCTCTCGCCACCACTCTCCTTGCAGCCCTCAAGCCTTTGCCCATGCTGCTGTAGCCGCTGACTCCAAAGTCTGCTCAGACATCGGACGGTAAGAGGTGGGTGGGAGCTGGGGGGCTCTTGACAGCTGGGCTCTCCTGGAGCCTGACTGGTGGCAGGATATGGAGGAGGCGTGTGGGGTTTGGGCTCCAGCACCATCCAGGCCTGGGCATAAGGAGGCAGCCTCAGTACCTTTGCACAGAATAGATGGCCGGAGCCCACAGGCCAGTGGCAGTGGCCGCAGGTGTAGCATTCCTGGCTCCAGGGTGCAGGAGGTCCATTTGCATGACACAGATAAGACATGGTAGTCCTAAAAGGACTCTGCTCCCTTGTCTCTGGTCTGACTCAACCTGACGCAGGTGGCGGGCACTGGCCCTTTCTGCAAGGCCGGGCTAGGTCTCCAAGAGTGGGGCTTTCCCCAGGGTCTGGGCAAGGCCTTCCCAGGCCGCATCTGTGGGTACTGGCCTGGCAGGTGCCCATGATGCTTCACTGCCAAGGAAACACCACTGCTGGGGTCACACTCCCCATAACTGTTCTCACCGTGGCAGGGCCAGGTCTGGTTGGGCGGAGTGACTAACTGTGCAGGCTGGGACAAGAGGATGGTAGAGAGGGGTCTGGCTGGCACTTCCTGACCTTCATCCCGGAAACCCAGCCCATTGGAAGTCTGTGCTGCACAACCACGCTGCCACCAGGGAGGGAGGTGGCCGGAAGCCCTCCTGCCCCCCACCCCCGCCACTAAGCCCCCAGATGCCTGAGGAAGGGTCCCCTTCCCACGAGCCAACCTAGTCTTCTTGAAAGGATACCTACCCCCAGGCAGGCCACAGTGAGAGCCCACAGGGTCCTGTACACAAGGAGTCTGTCCTGATGCAAAAGGGGCACATGGCTAGGTCCTGGCCCAGGTACAGCCTGACAAAGTATGATCCTTTTTTTTGTACTGGGAATTGAACTCCTGACCTTGCACTTGCCAGGCAGGCACTTAAGCCACTGAGCTAACTCCCCAGCCCAATAGGATGCTGCTCTTTTCTTCCCAGTGTGCTCTCTTTGGTTCATTCTTCCTGCTTTTCGTTCATTCCTCCTTCCCGGTCCCTTCACCTATCTGTCCATCCTTGCCCACTGCAGTTGCTTGTGCCAGCCCTCCCCTACCTGCTTCTCCGGGCTCTCCCAGGGCTGGCGGTCTCCTTCCTTAGGTCTACTTTCAGGATGAAAATGGCAGCTCAGGGACAAGTTAGCAGGCAGCTGCTTTGACCCCCCAGGTGCTTCCAAGGGATGTGAGTGCGTGAGTCACCTGTCACCCCTGCCAAAGCATACCCTGCCATACGGTGCATATTTAACCCCAAGTTGCCAAGACACAAATGAGACTGGGGACCATCAGCCCCAGACATCGTCAGGAGGGCACACAGCTGCCAGGAGTAGGGGCGGGTACCACTATCTCTACACAGGAGCTGGGCCTGCCGTGTCTCCCCAGCCTCTATCCGGGGGTCTCTGGGGCATGCCCCTCTGCGTGCACGAAGGCCAGGGGCTGGGGTCCCTGCTCTGAGCCTGCTCTCTGTCCGAGCTCTCTTGGACGTGCCTTTCATGGAGCAGATGTGGTTTTTCCCCTGTGTTTTGTAAAACAGCTCTCTGCTTCCTCTTCCTGTTCTAAGAAACCAGGAGCAGGAGGGAGCCAGGAATGGAACAGGGGCTGCTGACCCCCACAGGGCTGGCACTGCGGGGAGGCTCAGGAAAGGTCCAAGGTCCTCCTGGCCAAGATCTCTTCCTGCAGCGGCCCCAGCCGCACCACTGCAGGGTCTGTCTGTGGATACCGGCAGCCCACACGCCTTCCTCTCTCCTTATCTCCTCTGTTTGCCCTGAGCCCTTGAACGAGGCTTTGTATGAGGAGCCAGGAGCATGGTGACAGTGGGGTCCCTTCCCCTATAGTCTGTCATCTCCTCCTGTGCTAGACTTGTGTGCAACTGTGTGTCCTGAGGCTCTGAGCAGATCTTTGTCACCTAAGAAAACTTTCTGAGTTCGAGGGTGACTGGAGGTTTTGTGATTTCTGTTTGCTGTGACTTCTCAGAAATTCCTGCTCTCATAGGTGTGGTAGCACACGCCTGAGATCCCAGAATGTGGAGAGGCTGAGGCAGGAGGATCATGTGTTTGACACCAGCCTAAGCATCTCAGTGACTTACTGAAACCCTGTTCAGGATGTTGCTCAGTGTGCTCCCTAATACAGGAGAAAAAAAAAAAAAAAAAAAAAAAAAAGAGGAAGAAAGAAAGAAAGAAAAAAAATGTCTGGTCTCCTAGTGGATCCTCAGGGGCAGACTTGCTTTTCTGTTTGACATAAGAACATTAGGGCTGGCCAAGAAAAAACTCAGCTGGAACTGGGGTTCTTTGCCCCGCTGCCGCTGCCACTCTTGCAGGAATGGAAGCTCTCCGGGGCTGTGGGAGGCTGGGGTTTCTCCAGAGTGCACCCCGCTCCAGCCCCCATCCCTAGCCAGCCCATGGGCCTGGCCTGTGAAGCCCAGAGCTTTCGCACAGCCGGTGAGCAGCCGTAGAGGACACCGGCAGGGCATACAGCGCTGCCCCCAGAGCTCTGATGAGCAAACTTCTGGGGATTGGAGTCTAGGCTGGCACTGGACTGTGGGATGGAGTTTTAGGTTGCTAAGGGGTGAGTTTTTGTTCGTTTGTTGGTTATTTTTGAGATAGGGTCTCACTATGCATTCCAGACTGGCCTTGAACTCATCGTGTAGCCCAGGCTGGCTTTTGGCTCATAATGATCCTCCTGCCTCAGCCTCCTGAGTGCCAGGATTACAGGCAGGCGCCACCACACCTGGCTAAGGGCTGGGTTTTATCAGCTACTCTGTACTCAGCTGGTGTCTGGTGCTGAGGTGTGGAGCTCACCCCATCCACTGGAGGAGCTCCCTGCAGGGCTAGTGCTGTCTAATGACCTTCATGGTGGCTTGGCTGGATCAGGTTGACATCTGCAGATCTTCGGGAGATTAGGGTGTAACTTCTTTCTCCAGGACCATGACCTTTGATCGATGGTTTCCTCCCCTCCTGGCTCCATGTGGGGCTGTGGCCCTCCTGGCTCTCTGTACTCTGGGCATGTTCACAGAGAAATGACTGCGTTTCCTCCCTTCCAAGGCTCGGGAGGAAATGGCCACCATGCTTGCCCAAGGACCGTGCATGTGTGTAAATGGGTGCATGTGATCCGCCTGTCTGACCCAGTCAGAGGGTGTGTGGCAGTGGCCATGGCGACAAAAACCTCTAGCTCCTTGGCAATAAAAACATGCAGTTCTCCTGCTGCCCGTCAATGCCCGCATTTCACAGCCAGGAACCCAGGCTCTGGTTACTGAGTTCCCTGCCTAGGGTCCTGCAGCTGGTGCCCAGGCGTGCCTTTGTGAGAACGTGTGCCTTTCTCCACCTGCAGTGAGGTACACCTGTATCTGCCAGGCTTGGCCCAGGGACACGCTGGGAACCAAGATGGTAAAACCCCTGCCTTTATAGTAGGGGAAATGACACTAAATCCTTAACTGATATGGGGGGGTGGGATGTGATCATTTGTCAGTGTGCATTCAGTTATAGGTTGTTTTCATCCTTTTATTTTATTTTATTTTATTTTATTTTATTTTATTTTATTTTATTTCTTACTGGGCATGGTGAATCCCAGCACTTGGCAGGAGGATTGCTGCCGAGTTCAGGGCCAGCCTGGGCTATACAAGTTCAAGATCAGCCTGAAAGATGTACCAAGACATGCCTCAAAAAATGTGTGTGTGTGCCTGTGTGTGAGATACTAGAAATTGACCCCGGGGCCCCATACAAGCTAGGCAAGCGCTCTACCTCGGAGCTTCATTCTCAGCCCACATCTGGCTGTTTGGACAAACGTGGTGGCACATTCCCGCAATCCCAGCACATGAGAAACAAGACGCAGGAGGATCCTGAAGAATTTGAGGCCAGCCTGGGGTTACGTAAGTTCAAGGCCAGCCTATACCCTATAGTGAGATCCTGCCACAGAAACGAAAACAAAGCAAATTTGGCTTTTTGTTAGTTTTTGATATCTAGAAAGGTTTGTATTGTTGTTCCAAAGGGTGTTTATGCACTAATAGATTTATTATATATTATGTGCCATATATAATTATAACATTAGATATATGACAGGGTACTCTTAGTCCTTCCATTCATGGGTATTTTCTGGGGAGAACGTTCTCTGCAGAGAATATCCATGCAAGGCCGGGGAAATAGCTCAGTGGTAGAGCTGTTGGCTCCTCTGTGATTAATATTGTCAATTTGGTTAGGTTGTGGTACCTATTGGTTAGGTCAAACACAGATGCTTGTGAAGCTTGGTGGCACATACCTTTAACCCAGCACTTTGGGAGGCTGAGACAGGAAGATCACAAGTTCAAACCAGCTTGGGCAACTTAGGGATTTAGTAAGACCCTGTCTCAAAATAAAAAAGTTTTTAAAGAATTGGAGATACAGCTTAACCCAAAGGACTTGGGTTCAGTACCCTCTGCTGTAGGGCAGGGTGGGGTGAGGAGATGCTCTTCAATTTCTGATGGACTTACATCCCAGTGAACCCATTATTAGTTGAAAATAGGTATCAAAATACATCTCTTCCATTTAACCTACCAAAGATCCTGGCTTAGCAGCACCCTGCACTGTGGGGTTGTTCTCTCCTGGACTGGGGGGCTGTCCAGCAGCCTGAGAGAGGATCATAGTAAATATCACCAGTCCGGGAAAAGTCAAGATTAGAAATATAGTTTCTACTGAGCATGTTATCACACTCACGCCATCATCAACATTTAAAAACTGTAAATTGAGCCAAACATGCTGGCTCATACTTGGTAATTCTAGCCCTCAGGAGGCTGAGGCAGGAGGATTACTCACTGCAAAGCTGGAGGCTGGCCTGGGCTACATATCAACACCCTGTCTCAAAAAACAAAGTGAGGCAAAAAGTCATTTGAACCATTGTAAGCTGGGAACTGTCTGTGTTAGTCTAGACCCTTCCTAGTCCGCTTGTGAGAGTGTTTGAGGATGTGATTTACATTCCAATCAGTTGATTTCTAGTAAAACAGATGCATTTCCACAATCTATGTGAGTCATAGGTCAGCTGGTGTTCTTAAGAGCAAAAACTCAGATTTCATGGGGAAGAAAAGATGCCGCCACAGGACTGTAACAGAAATGTTACCTGAACTGGGCGTGGTGACATGTGCCTTATAGTCTGAACTACTTCAGAGGCTGAGGCAGGAGGATCACCATAGCCCAGGAGCTGCCACCATGGAAACACCATGAGACTGTCTAAAAAGAAAAAACAAAAACAATAACAATTTGGGGCCGGGGATTTAACTCAGGAGCTTAAGTGCATGCCTGGCAAGCACAAGGTTGTGAGCTGTTCCCCGGCACCAAAAAAACAAACAAACAGAAAAACAACAAGACAAAAACCAATTTGTACAGGCAAGTGATGCACACCTAGAACCCCAGTTTGAGGCCAACAATTTAGCAAGAACCTACCTCAAAATAAAAAAAAAAAGTAAATTAAGAATTTAAAAGACTGAGGAAATAGCTCGGTGGTAGAGCTGTAATCTAGCCCGTGCACAGCCTTAGGGCTCATCTCTGATACCGCAAATAATAATAAAAATAATATTACAGGAAGTTCTGCCTGTGTTTCTAGCCTGCCCCCTGGGGATTTTGAACCCAAGACTGCAGCATCCGCTCCTGGCTGACGGATGGACACAACCGTTCCCCGCAGATTTCAGACTCCCCAGCTCAGGACTGCACAGGATGAGCTCTCGGCTCTGCCTGCCTGTGTCCTGCCGGTTCTGTTTCTCCTCAGAACCCTGACTCACCGTCTCCTCCTGGGAGCAATAGTGAAACCAGCCAGGAACGCTCTTCCCTTCTTCCTCCTGAGACGCGTCTCTCATTAGCCCTGATATGACTTTACTTCCTAAGGATTGCATCATTTGAAATGAATATTGTTCTTTTTTTAGGTACAAGGGATCAAACTCACAACCTTGTGCTTGCCAGGCGGATGCTTATACCACTGAGCTAAATCCCCAGCCCCCTGAAATGAATATTTTATTATTATTATTATTTTGGGATGCTGGGAGTTGAACCCAGGGTCTTGTATCTTGTGTATACTAGGAAAGCCCTGTATCATGGAGCTACTCCACAGCCTTGAAATTAATATTATCATATAGTTTCCATTAGCATTTGCATGATTTTTTAAATCATTTTTTCCCTTTCTATACCACTTTATACAAAAGGTATTAGTTTTGATCTATTATTTAATTTTTCATCTCATCATTTTATATGTAATGTCATAAGGATTCATTAGGTTTATCGTCATTATATGCTGGGTGTGGTGCCACACACCTGTGATTCCAGCCCTTGTGAGGCTGAGGCAGGAGGATTGTCATGAGTTCGAGGCCAGCCTAAACTAGACATCTGGCTAAGGAAGGATATTTGTTATGGTTTATATCCAAAGGTTCCCCCCACCCCGAGCCTCATGTGCTTATGGGATGTTTTATTTTAAATATTACAAGATAGTATCATTTTTTGGAGACAGGATCATGCTATGTAATTCAGGCTGCCCTTGAACTCACTACGTAGGTGCAAATTGGCCTCTGATCTGCAGCAGTCCTCCTACCTCAGCCTCCCAAGTGCTGGGATTACAGGTGTGTGCCGCCATGGCCATGCCCAGCTGAGAAAGCTATTTTAGAAACTCAGATCTGGAAGCTAGGAGTCCTCATTACCAATAGGACATCACGACCTACAGTTTGCTTCCATGCAGAGCCAGAAAAGACAAAAACCCCCACAACCCTCCACCCTGATAACTCTGGTTCAAACCCACCCTTACAGGCTCCTTCTCTATCGCTCATCTCTTTTTATCTCCCATAGTAACAGAAGTTTCCAATATGTCAATATAGTTACTTTCTTGCTCTGTCCAGGAAGAGGAAATGCTTTCAAAACTGCTTCATCAGCAGTGTCACTAGACAGGGTTGCAGCCCTACCCTGGCGTAGGATGAGTGCAATCATCCCAGTGCGTCCCGCGGAAGGTGTAACCTTCTCCAGCCGCAAACTATGCATGCCATGCGAGCCGAGGGCTCCCACTGCCCTCCCTTCTGAGACAGGGTGAATTGAATTTCAAAGCAGCCTGTCCCACTCCCTTCGCTGAAAGTCACTAGCGCAGATCAGTGCAGCATGCCTGGAGCCAAGGAAAGTATCTGATTTTTTCCAGGAACATAGATAAAAAGTATTGTTTACCTCCCAATAAGCTGTTAGACGAAGACTGTGGGAAAGGTCAGATTTATTCTTTCTGCATACAGGAAGGCTGAAATAGGGGTGCTATCAGCGGCTATATTTTGTTTGTTTGTTTTTGCTTTTTTGAGACAGGATCTTGCTATGGACTGGCCTCAAACTTGCAGCAATCCTCTTGCCTCAGCCTCCCGAGTGCTGGGGTTACAGGCATGTGCTGCCACCGGTTAGGCTTGGCCCTTAGTTCGTGTTTACCTAGGGCCGCCTACTGTCAGTAGCTGGGAAGCTATTGTTTGTGATGGGCAGTTTCTGTCTCTCTCAGGTCAGGCCTAACATGAACAAGTCATCCTGCAAGTCTACCTGGCTCTTTTTCCAGCCTAGCTGGTACCCCAGGCAGGTTGTAAAATCCCAGTCCGCCCTCGTTGTTTAATGGCCTTTGCAAAATCAGCACATCTGCCTCGCGCACTTTATACACCTCCCATTTACTGCCTGCCCTAGTGGGAGGGTCTAACCCACTGATGAGCATCTCACACGCATGACCCAACCCCTCCCCCAAGCCCCACCTATAAGCACATGAGGGAGGCTTTGGGGGCCGAGGGGGAGCATCTGGATATAAACCATAGCAAATATCTGTCCGTAGAATGCTCTCGGGGACTAGTGAGGTGAGGAGCAAATAGGGGCCAGGGGACACTCTGCCAATTCCCAGATGTAACCGTATTTGTTTTATTCCAATGCTCTCACCCCTATATCCATCTGTAACTGCACAGGGCCCCAGAAAACACACAGAATCCCCATCGAACTGGGTACTTGGGGTCCCAGTAAGTGAGATGATTTGAAGCTAGGCCTAATTCTGGCTGATGGTTTTGCCCATACTAAGGACCCATCTCCGAGTGTGGGGAGCTCACAATATGCTTCCACCAGCCTCCTATGGGGGCCAGAAGCTCCTCCCTGCCGCTCCACCATCTCTCCAGGACTTACAATTATTTTTACTTTTTGGCTTTTTGAGACAGAGTCTCACTATGTAGCCCAGACTGGCCACAAACTCAAAGCAATCCTCCTGCTTCAGCCTCCTGAGTGCTGGGATTACAGACATGCACTTCCATGCCCTTGCTTTTTTTTAAAATTTTGAGACAGTGTCTGAATAAGTCACTAAATTGCTCAAGTCAGGTTTGGATTCATGATTCTCCTGCCTCAGTCTTCCAGAGTTTCGAGATTACAGGGTCACGCCAGCCTGCCTAGTTCACAGTTTGCATTTTGTGCTGTGAGCCTGGATGAGTGCTTCCACAGGGCAAGGACAGAGCCCAGGGCCCCAGCACCAGGGACCAGAGAGATGGGAGACAAACCCAAGGGAGGAGCAAGTGCAGAAGGGGCTCCAAGGGGAGGGCCTTTGGAGGGGCCCCTGCTGCTGAGTTAACAGGCCAGAGATGCTTCAGTCCGCTCCATTTGGTAAAGAGATGAAGCCTTTGTCTCTCAAAGGAATTCAGGGTCCACTCCCTCCGCCTGCCCCAGTTTGTCATTTGTCTTTGTTGATGGTGTTTATTTACTGTAAATGTGTAAGGAGGCCTGAATGTAGCAATCTTGTTTCTTTTATGCTTCTGGCTTCCTGCCCTTTCCCCATTCCAAGATTATGTATTTCCATGTGGCCGCCATGTGTAGCCACACAGGGGCCTAGAGCAGGACACTCAGCTCAGGAGCCAGGGAGGCCCTTCAGAATAGACTGGGGAGGCCACGGGGAATGGAGCCAAGGGAAGACCCTGGGGACAGAGGTTCCATGGGGTGGGCCAGGGAATCCAGTCTGTTCCCTCTTTGGGTCTTAAGATTTCCTCACTGTTGACTGAGTCTGAATGGAGTCCCTGACCTGAAATAGAAAAGCACCGGCCACTGCAGTCTTGAGGCCCCTGGGGAGCGGAGCCCCAGTGTGGGCTCCAAGGATGGCCAGGCCTTGTTTTCTGCAAACGAGCTGGTACTGCTGGGTGCTACTGGGAGCCCCGAGGGCACCATGACAGCAGCAAACAGAGTGGTGCCTTCCTGGTAAATGGCAAAGGCCAGGGGTAAGTGGCATCACTCCGCGGTCTTCTAGAATGTGATGGGTCAGGGAGCGGCTCAGTTTGAGGGGTTCACCCAGTGTGTTTTCTAACCTAACCTGGGGTTCTGTGCAGCAGATGGGCCATGGATCTGTCTCTGATCCTGGGTGAATGTCAGCTGAGCAGGCCCAGATGGGGAGGGTGGGGCAGAGAACCAGGCCACTGATTGTGCCGTGTCTCCTAGAGCCATCCTCCAGCAGCAGGGCTCACCTGTGGATGCCACCATAGCAGCCCTGGTCTGCTCTGGCGTTGTCAACCCTCAGAGCATGGGCCTGGGAGGAGGGGTCATCTTCACCATCTACAATGCTACCACAGGTGGGCCTCCATGTTGGTATCCCCACCCTGCCCTGGGGAAGACTGATTTGTCTACAACCACTGGTGACCCTTCCCAAGTCCCTTCCCACACCGCTCCCTGGGCTCCCAGGCCTTCCTGCCCTGTACCCTCACTTCCGCTACACACAACTCTGGTGGCAGATCCTGCCCCAAGTGTTAGCACAGAAAGGGAAACTGAGCCTGGGAACAGGCTGGGGCCATCTGAGGGTGCCACGACTGCTCAGTCACTCTACCTCAACTCAGGGAAGGTGGAGGTCATCAACGCCCGGGAGACTGTGCCAGCCAGATTTGCCCAGGGTCTGCTGGACCAGTGTGAACTCGCCCTACCTCTAGGCACAGGTGAGGCCTGGGCGCAGGGTGCCCACTCCTACCCTAAGAGGCCCCTAGGGCTGACCAGGACACCCCCAGAAAGGACAGCGTGTCTCACTGACAAGCGGTGACATCTTGCATGGGGAACAGAGCCAGGGTATGGGGAGCCTGTTTGGAGCTAGTAACCTTCTGGGTTGTGGATGTCTTCCTGGGGACAGGGCTCTGAGTAGAAAGGGGACGATCCAGGGAGAAGGCCAGGCTGGGCAAAGTCCTGAGGGGTTTGACAAAGATGGGCTGGTAGGAAAGGCTGCTGGGCTCTGTTCGGGCCCAGTGGGGAGCCACAGGGCTGTGTGTGGAGAGTGATGTGCTCAGGAGTGGGTTCCAAAGCCTCACTCTGGCTGCCATGGCTGGGGGTAACAACTGCCAGAGAAGAGGGGAACCCTGGGCAGGCCTGGAAGCCTCAGGACTGAGGACGGGCGCTTGTGGGCAGGGACCCAGTGGATCGGGGTGCCCGGGGAACTCCGTGGCTACGCCGAGGCCCACCGCCGCCATGGCCGCCTGCCCTGGGCACAGCTGTTCCAGCCCACCATTGCCCTGCTCCGAGGAGATTTCCGCATGCCCTCCGTCCTCAGCCAGTTCCTCAGCCACAAGTTCCTGCAGCCCCTCCTGTACAACTCAACCCTGAGGTGAGATCACAAGGTGGCCTCGGGCTCCAGGCCACCCACATCCTAGCTCAGCCCAGCCACATCCCCGCTCTGGCTCAGTCCCTCTTGTGCTGGAGTTTGACCCTCAGGGGACCCATGGGTCTTTAAGACCAAAATGGCCATACCTTTCTATCTCCAGTCAGAACCTGGCTTGCAGAAGCTTAGGCCTGATGGGGATGCAGAGTGTAGATTTATTTGGGTTCTGCCATGTCCCTGTCTTTGGGGTGAAAGAAAGCCCGTGGTTGCCAGCCTGCCTGCCCTGTTAGACCACTGACAGGGCTCCCATGGGACAGGGAAGACAGGCCCTGGGTAGATGTGGCTCCACAGGGAAAGGTTCCCCTCTGGGCTGGGCCATGAGTGAGGTGGGTGGGATTAGCCCCCCTTCTAGAGAATCCATCCCCCCTACAAGACCCCAGTCCAGAACTCTCCCCTATAGGATCCTGAGGATCTCATCAAAGCCCCTGGCAGGATGTGGCTGCCCTGTGGTCCCTGGCTCTACCCTGAGTTTGCCCTCTATAACCCCCAGGCAGCTTTTCTTCAATGGAACTAAACCCCTGAGGTCTCAGGATCCGTTCCCATGGTCCGTGCTGGCCACCACCCTGGAGACTGTGGCCACAGAAGGCGACCAGGCCTTCTATACTGGGAGGCTGGGCCAGATGCTGGTGGATGACATTGTCAAAGAAGGTCAGCCACACTGGCGTTCCAGTGCCTGGTCCCAGCCAGAGAAGGGTCCGGCCCTGGGAAAGCCTCAAAGCTGCAGGTGGTGGGTTAAAAGTGGGCCTTCCTCCAGGCTCCGTCCCCGGGACTCCTACTGCCAGCCACCGGGGCATCTGTGGGAAGGGACCGCAGCCTGCTACAGCCGCCTGGACAGCTGAGCTGACCGCACCCCAAGTCCCGTCTCCCACTTCCCTCTGGTCTCCATCCCTCCACCCCATGCCACTGTGCACACACCCACCATCACCCTCCAGTTGTGCACAGATAGGGAACAGGGGTACTCCCCACTGTGGCAAATGTTTCTTCACCTCAGTTTTCCTAGTTGTACACGGATCCCTCCCTGTCTCACCCCAGGGGGCCAGCTGACCATGCAGGACCTGGCTACCTTCCAGCCTGAAGTGGTGGATGCCCTGGAGATGCCCCTGGGAAACTACACTCTGTACTCACCGCCACCACCTTCAGGGGGCGCCATTCTCAGTTTCATCCTTAACGTGCTGAGAGGTAAAAGATTCTCGGGCCATTGCCCAGTCCTGCTCTGCTGGGATCCTGAACCCTCAGCCCAGCTATGGCTTTGGGCAAGTCAGCTTCTCACCATTAGATTGAAATACCTGACACAATGTACTTCTAAAAAAGGGAGGCTGAGGGTGTTGGCTAGCAGCTGGGCTTTTCCCTAGCGTGCATGAGGCCTTGGGTTTGATCCTCAGCTTTGCTAAACAAATAAACAGAGAGACAGAAAGAGACAGACAGAGACAGAGAGACAGGCAGAGAGACAGTGAGACAGAGAGAATGAAAGAAAGGAAGAGGAAAGAAAGGAAAAAGAGAAAGGAAGAAAGGGAGAGAGAGCAAAGAGAAGAAAGAAAGGAAAGAAAGGTGAGTGTAGTGGCCATTCATACCTGTCATCCCAGCACTTGAAAGGCTGAGGCAGGAGGATACTGCACATTCAAGACTAACAATACTTTGCCTCAAAAAACAAAACAGAACACGACACACCAAAGCAGGCACCTGCACTGGCTCACCTCTGATGAGGGCCCGAGGCAGGTAGTTTGGGAAGGTGTTGGGGCGAACACTTACATTTCAAACCAGGAAGCAAAAAGAGCTGGGTGAGGCCAGGCCCATGCCTTTCATAAGCCTTTTGTGTGAACTACCAAGAGGTGGCTCGCTCACTACCTCCCAAAAGTATGGCCCTGGTAACCTTATGACCTCCCGTTCAGCTCTGGGGATCAAACTCGCGACCTCACACTTGCCCAGCAGGCACCTACACTGCTGAGCTAAACCCCTGGCTCTTAGCTCCACCTTTAAAGGTTCTAAAGCCTCCTATTTCCACCACCCTGGGTTTGAGCCTCCAGCTTCAGTGGACCCTTGGGGCACAACCAAACTGTACTGTAACTGTGGCAGGCAGCCACTGCCTTTTCCTGCCTGGCCTGGATGACGGGTGTGACACCCAACACGGGGCTGTGACAGGGGCCAGGACTTTAGACTGGGCCCCACTTGAAGTTTTGCTGAGAGGACTGAGATTCTTCTCTGTAGCAGGTGAACCAGTCACAGGGCACAGGTGGACTCTGTGTGTAGTGAGTTGCCCATCACAGGCTCGAATTCAGGCCTGAGACACAACCCTTGAACTCATAGCCAGCGAGCACAGGGTCTGGGTGGTGTCCAGGTCTGTGGATGTCTGAACCTAGCTCTCTCAGTATCCTGTGGCTACTGCAGCAAAGTGGGCCCTTAAGCAACAGGAACATATCCCCTCACATTCTGGAATACAAAAGTTCCCATATCAAGCTGTCCACAGGGCCACATTCCCTCTGGCGACTCTAGAGGAGACCCCGTTCCCTTCCACTTCCTGATGCTGGTGGCTGCTGATACTCTTTGGCTTTGCCTATATCTCTCCAGTCTCTACCTCTGTGACTATACTGTAGCCACAGGGGACAGGTCCCAGGGTCTCCAGTGGATGCCTAAAACTGAAGACAATCCTGACCCTTGTGTATACCATGTTCTTGCCTAGTATATTTGCCTATCATAAAACTAAATTTGTAAATTAAGCATAGTAAGACACTAGGAATAACTCCTTTTCACCTAAAAGAGGTACTTTATGGCTTTTCTCCAACATATCCAAATTGCTAGCATCACTATGTGCGTTAGTCAGCTTTCTGTTAATATAACAAATACCTAGATAAATAACTTACAAAGAGAAAAGGTTTATTTGTCTTAGTTTTGAAGGTGTTAGTCCATGATTGGTTGGCTCATTGTTTTTGAGCTTGTAACAAGGCAGTGCATCATGGAAGGATCACGTGGTAGATCCAGCTGCTCATCTCAGAGTGACTGGGTGGAGAGAGAGAGAGAGAAGCCAAATTAAACCTCTTCTCTTAAGAGAGACAGATAAGAGAGGAAGAGAGCAGCACCCCATAATGCCTTTCAACGGCACATTCCAGTGACCTAAAACCTCCTTTGAGGCCCACTTCTTAATGATTCTACAACTTCTGTACAACACCAAACCGAGCACCTAGTTATTAACACATGGACCTCTCGTAGCACATTCCAGATCCAACTATAACACCATTACTCTTGCACTTGGGAACCATTCTTAAATAAGTATTCCTTGAACACAAGTACTCTAAGGGAACAGTTGATCCAATAATGAAGTGATGGATGGGTGGATAAGGTATACAGCATGGATACATTGGACAAAGGGATGCTTCACATCTTGGGGAGACTGAGCAGAATGACATGAGATTTCATCATGCTTCTCCAAATGACATGTAAAATTTATGAATTGTTTATTTCTAGAATTTTATAGTTAATAGTTTCAGACCATGGTGACCTCAGGTAACTGAAACTACAGAAAATGAAACCACCAATAAGAACATACTACTGTGTTGGCCTCTCCTCTCCTCCCCTCTGTCTTGTAAGAACACAGGTTGTCACATTTAGGGCTCACCTGCATAATCCAGGGTAATCTCTTCCTCTCAAGTCCTTTATTTAGCATATTTTAACATAGGATAATATTCACTGTAGTCTTATGTAAGGTAATATTCACAGGTTCTGGGGATTAGGGCATGGATGAGTATGGGGTGGGGTCCAACATTCAATTCACTGTACAGAGTGGTCCTGACCTGTGCCCTGCCCTCTCTCCAGGGTTCAACTTCTCAGCAGAGTCAGTGGCGCAGCTTGAAGGGAGAGTGAACATGTACCACCACCTTGTGGAGACACTCAAGTTTGCTGGGGGACAGAGATGGCGGCAGTGGGACCCTCGCAGCCACCCAGAGGTCCAGGTGAAGTTGCCTGGGGCTGGTGGGATCCCCCTTTCTTTCCCCAGGAGTTGGCATACAGAGAGGGTCAGGGCTGATTCAGGGAGGACAGAGGAGGGAGGTTAGCAATAGACCAGGGCAGAAAGGATGCAGTGGCCCTGGGGACCAGAAGAGACCCTGCAGTGGCAGTTGTGGGAGGTAAGATTTGGGTATAGTCTGGGCTCAGGGAGGTCTTCATGGCTTGCAGCCTTGAGAGGATCCTCCAAAGAAGCTAACCTCCCCTTCTGCTCTGTGGACCTCACCTGGACCCCCTCACTGACCCTGAGCTGCTTGCGCACCCCAGAATGCCTCCCAGGAACTGCTGGGGGAAGCTCTTGCCCAGCACATCCGCCAGCAGATCAATGACCGTGGTGACCACCAGCGCAGCCACTACAACCTGGCCGGAGACTGGGGCCACAGGATGGGTACTTCCCACGTGTCTGTGCTGGGAGAGGATGGCAGTGCTGTGTCAGCCACCAGCACCATCAACACACCGTGCGTGGGGCTGGGGGCAGACCCTTTCCCTTGCTCCTGGACCTGAGCCGGCTCCACCTCCAGCTTGGTCTAGACCGTCCGCCTCCCCCTGCATCCCATGGAGGCAGCACCTTGCTTTTCCTCTTCCCTCCCGCCTATCAACCCCCTGGGTCATCTCTGGCCGAGAACGATGTTCCTGGGGTTCCTGGGATGGCCCTTACTCAGGCTGTCCTGACTAGGAGTGCAGGGGGCATTTGGGAGCTCTGGGCTCCAGCACACTGGCAGGGAGCCCTGCCAGGGGATCCTGAGAGGCTGGCGCTCATGTTGCTTAGGCTCTGGCTTCCCTGCCTGCAGCTTTGGAGCCATGGTGTACTCCCCACAGACGGGCATCCTTCTCAACAATGAGCTCCTGGACTTGTGCTGGAGACGCAGGTCAAGCTCCAACCACAGGCCCCCACCCGGTGAGAGCGAGGCCTCCAGCCCGGATTCTACAGGCATCTCCCAGGGAGAGGAGGGAAGGTGGGCAGCTGTGTGCTGACCCCGGACGGGTCACCGCTTCACTGAGCCACTGTTTGCTCAGCAGTGAGTGGGGCGGGGGGTGTTATTCCTGGAGGTGTGGGTGACACCGTTGGGCCCCCAGTTCCAGGTGAGCGGCCGCCATCCTCTATGGTACCTTCCATCTTGGTCAACAAAGCCCAGGGCTCCAAGCTGGTGATTGGCGGGGCTGGGGGGGATCTCATCATCCCTGCCGTGGTCCAGGTGCGTCTGGGTGTTCCCTGGCGCCTCTTAGGAAGCCCTGATATCTGACGGCCCCTGGGGTGGGCGCGGAAGGGTTGGTGTGGGTGGCGATGCCCCTCTCCTGCTGCATCCTCTTTCTCTCACTCAGACCATCATGAACAAGCTGTGGCTTGGCTTTGATTTGGCAGCAGCCATCGCCTCCCCCATTCTGCATGTGAACAGCAAAGGTGGAGTGGAATACGAGGCCAACTTCAGCCAGGTGAGGCCACATTCGCGCCTCCCTGCCCCTGATTCATGCTAGGACAAACTCAGCTACTGCGTGGCCTAGCTGGGAACCTTTCACTGTTAGTAGCCACAGGGAGTTGACTTCCAAGACAACTTCCAAGAGGGCGAGGTGTTGCCAAAGCATCCTCCAGGCTGAGGCCCTCATTCCCCTTGGTCCCTGGTCTACTTATCCATTTCTTTTGGAAGCTAATTTTCCTGGCTCTGGAGCCTCAGACTCTCCCTCGTGGTGATTGATGTCCTTGTGTGGTTGGGAGCTTATTTGTAAGAGAGGATATTTTTCCTGTGGGAGTCTTTAGACTGCCTTCATTCCAGCACACTGGGGGTTCCTGTAAACATTTTTTGATTCTCCCATCAAGGCCTGTGGTACAGGCCCAAGGGCTCAATTCTCTTGGGCATCCCTGCCCTCCTCCCTCGGCTTCCTCGGAGTTTCTTGGGCTGGCGGATGCTCTTTGTTAAAACCCATTTAAAAGATCAATGGCTGGGACTGGGGGTGTAGCTCAGGGGGAAACCTATTGTTGACAGGTCCCTGAGTTTGATCCCCAGCACAGTGGGGGGAAAGAAAACAAAATAAAACAAAACAAAATAAAACAAAACTAGTGGCTCTTTGAAGCTTCAGATTTTACGCCCAGGGTCAGTACCACTAGCTGGGCTCATGGTTCTTGAAGCTGCCTCTCTTGGTCTGAAGGATGCCTTTCAGGCCCTTGGAACCCTGGGACCACAGGCTGGGGGCTTAAGCCAAGTGGAAATGTACGGACCGGGTTCAGACTACAGTGGTCGGACTAAAGGGTTTTTCAACTTTCTACGCACCTTCAGCATAAATTGTACTTTAAGGTACATTAGTGGTGGCTACTCATGCAAACATCCTAGCTTTCCCTTTTACTACAGTATTCAGCAAATTACATGAGATTATTCAATGCTTTATGATAAAACTGGCTTGGTATTAGATGGCAGCCCAACAATAGACAAACGCATGTGCTCTGAGTGCATTCCAGATGGGCTGGGCTAATCTCTGCTTGGTTGATGAGATGTATATTCAATGTATTTTTGACTTAATGATACAGTATCTTCAATTTATGATGGATTTATCAGGATGGAGGTCCACGATAAGTCAAGGAACAGCGAGATGGCCTGAACGCTTTGGCATTTGCCCCATAATATTAAGGTGCTGAGCCTGGGGGCTCAAACTCTTGGAGTGTGAGGTGCTGCCTCCTCCATGTCACATCTGCCTAGTGGCTTCAAGCGTTGCCTCAGGGCACCAGATTCCAGGAAACTTAGATCTAGAAGATCCGGGGTTCAAGGAGCATCTTCTCACACCCCTCCTCCTGGACCCTTTGCTGAAGTCTCTTAGGGTACAACCATCACTTCTCAGACACCCAGAAGACTTCTAGCCCTGAGAATTTGGGACCCATCAGCCTAGGAACTGGGATTAAAGAATCAGGTGCCCATGAAGGCCAAATCCTCAGCTCCCGTGGAGAGTCAGGGATCAGTCATGCAGCTCAAAGGCTTTCTGTGGGAGAATCCTAAACTCTGCATCGGAGACCTCAAGTCTCCAAGGACTAAAGCCCAGGGTCTGAGGCAAGGAGGGTCACTGATCCTTGGGTCATGAATTTTGGTCGCCAGTTTGTGGGAACGGAACCTCTGAGGACCAAAAGTCCATTTTTGGCTTCAGTAGCAAAGGCCTCCACCTTCAATTTTGAGGATTTGGGGCAATTTAGAACCAAGAGGTCAGGGTCCTCAGGGACCTTGCCCTGCCTGTGGCTCAGATCATGCGGTGTCACTTGATGTCCTATCCGAGGATCTGGTGGGCAAAAGTCTTGAGGCTTTAGTCCAAAATAAGAGGCTAAAACAGCCCAGGTCCCCACACTCTAGGACTTTCATCTCAACAGAGTGATAGATATGCCAAGGCCTGTATACTGGGGTCAGGTACTTAGCATCTTCCAAGGCAGCACCTCGGGACCAAGGGCCAACCCTGCCCTTCAACTGCTTGGTAGTCTGCAGATTCACTGTCTTAGACCTGGGTCACTAGGGCCCCTCCCTGAGCACCTCCTACTCTGAGACCACTTGTGCTTTCGTCTAAAGACCTAATTTCCTTGAACTCGTGGGTATTCAGAGCGGAGGGGACCTGGGGTCTCGAGTCCTTGTAGCTGAATCCTCTCTCAGCAGGGCCTGTGTTAGTCAGCGGCCTGACACACACAGCTTGAAGAGGAAAAGGTTTATTTTGGATGGTGTTTTCAGTCCATAGTCAGCTGACTCCAAGGAAGAATTGATACCACAGGGGGAGGGGGCTGGCGCAGGAAAGCTGCTTGTGTCACAGTATCCAGGAATGAAGGGATCAGGACAAGAATACGCCCTAAGGCACACCCCTTATTCTCTCCAAATTCGCCTCGTCTGTAAATGGCTCCTTCCGCTATGAACTCATCGGTGGAGTGTTCCACTGATGAGGTCAACGCGCTAGGTATCAAATCACCTTCCAGAAGTCCTATCTCTGAGCACATGACCCTTCGAGGGACATTTTATGTTGCTTGTTAGTATTACTATTTTGTCTTTTGGAGATGGGGTTTTGCTATACAACTCAGGCTGGCCTTGAACTCACTTTGTAGCCCTGGCTAGCTAGTCCTGAACCCTCAGTGACCCTCCTGCCTCAGCTTCCTGAATGCTGAGCTTATAGGTGTGTGCCTCCGTGTCTGGAGGAGGAACATTTTTTATTTCAACTGTATCAGGCCCTAAACATGTGGGACATCACTCCCTGGGAAGTTTGGTGGCTGCATTCCTGGGTGTCTAGGTCTCCAGTCTCTGCTGAGACTCTCTGTCCTATATGGGCTGATGGTGCTGAAGGCAGAGGATCTGGGTACCTGGCACCTGACTCTGTTCTCTTTGCTGTCTTTGGAGTCCCCGGGTGCAGAGACCCGGAGTGGGGACAATCTTAAGTTGCGAAGTTCTGGATGTGTAGAGGGTGTGGGGTTCCAAAGATTTTTCTGGAAGGTATTCTAGAAGGCTTTCTTTTCTTTTTGGTAGCGGAAATTGAACTCAGGGCCTCATGCTTGCCAACCAAGTGCTGTGCCACTGAGCTACCTTCCCAGCCTCTGGGAAGCTTTCTTTCTTTTTTTTTTTTTGTACCAGGAATCAAACTCAGGGCCTTGCATTTGTCTTGTAGAACAATTTCTTTTGTTTTGTTTTTGCTTTGTCTTTTTCCTTTTTATCGGTACCAGGGATCGAACTCACGACTGCCTGCTTTCAAGGCAGGCACTTATGCCGCTGAGCTAAACCCCCAACCCCCAGAACAATTTCTTTTTAAGAGACTCAAAATTGGAGACTTCACAGTCTAAGTCCTTAGAACTTACGTCCTCCATTGAAGATCCCCCAAACTCCTTAGATTTTACTCTGAAGTCTTGGTGAATTGGATCCAGAATCGAGGTAAATGTGCATCTCCAGGACCTTTGTTCTGAGTGTGGCTCCCTTCCCTCTTCCCGCTGCCCCATTACACCTTCTGGCCTCCTCTGGCCGCCGAACTGCTCCCACACAGTGTGGTCCAGGCCCTCCCTCACCCCCATTCCGCCTTCTTGGTCAGTTTCCTGTCCAGACCTCCTCTGGATGGGAACCAATCTGCCCTTTTCTGTGAACTCCTCTTCTCTCTCCAGGAGGTGCAGAAGGGGCTCCAAGACCGTGGCCAGAAACAGACCCAGCAGCAGTTTTTCTTGAACGTGGTCCAGGCTGTGTCCCAGGAGGGGCCCTGTGTGTACGCAGCGTCTGACTTGAGGAAGAGTGGGGTGGCTGCAGGCTACTGAGGAAAGAGTTTGGCCCGAAGCCTGGATCATCCAGCCCTGCCTTAAGCCCTGAGCTGCAGCTGGATGAGGGACCAAGTGCTCCAGCAGGACCTGGACTCCTGGCTGAGACTGGAGGAGGCGGACTCCAGCAGAGTGCCGGGAAGGATGACTGGAAGGGCCTGAGCCTCCGCCCTGACCCTTTCCCCCCAGCCTCATGTGACCCTGCTCCGGCTCCTTCCTCTGGCCTCCTGCCCACCTTTCCAACCTGTGTCCACCAGTCTAAGATTAAAGAGGAGCCGGCTGTAGCCTGGCTTGGTGTTCCGAGTGGGGCAGGGGACCCCTCAGATAGCCGGGAGGGACGCTCTCAGGAAGCTCCTATGGCGCCCCAAGGAGCAGGGGAACTGAGGCTCAGAGCTAGCCCAGCCTCACCCAGGCCACCCCTAGACAGAGGCAAGCGCTCTGCCACCCCTGACCCCTACTGTTTGCTCCAGCTGCAGTGATTTTGGGGGCTCAGCAGTGTGTCTCTCCCTGGTCCTGCTCACTGGTGGGAAGGCAGACATGTACCCTGGGGAACCTGTGCCCCAACGCTTGTAGGCCTTGGCTGAGCCTTATTCTCTGCGCCAGGAAAAGGCTGGACAGCGTGGCACCCTTCACCCCAGCCCCCACAGTTCCTGTGCTTGAGACCAGGTGTCCTATGCTTGGCAGTCCTGACATCTGGGGTGAGCTGATTCTTCATAGTGCGGGGTTGCCCACACTGTGGGATGTTGTATCACCCCTTGTGGGGAGCCACTGCTCTGGATCAGTGAGCCCTAGTTGCTGTGAATGACTTTGCCAGCTCCAGGCCTGGGCTCCCCACCTCAGGGGCTCCCCTAGATGAACCTAGCTATCTTGTATTGCACTGGCTCCTGAAACCATGGGTATTTCTATGTCACTCCAAAAGTGCTGGAGGAGTTGTTTAATCCGTCAGGTTGCTGTCAAGACTACCATAAAGGAACGGCTTATGGTATTTTCCAGAAATTTATTACTCACAGTTCTGGAGTCAGAAGTCTCCAGAGATCAAGGTGCAGGCAGGTTTGGTGTCTGGCGAGGTCCTGCTCCCACCTAGATGGCAGCTTCTAGTGCTGTCCACACATGGTGGGAAGGGCTCAGCTGTTGTCTGAGGTCTGCTTTTTTTTTTTTATCTACTGGGGATCGAACTCATGACCGCACACTTGCAAGGCAGGCGCTTATGCTGCTGAGCTAAATCCCCAGCCTGGGTCTCTTTTATAGGACACTACTGCGATTCCTCACTATCCAACCTCCATATATTAGAAACCTCTAATAGGCTTGGTGGCTCACAGTTGTAACCCCAGCACTCAGGAGGCTGAGGCAGAAGGACCGCTGTGAGCTCAGGGCCAGCCTGGGTTACATCGTGAGTTCAGGGCCAGCCTGAGAGAGAGACCCTGCCTCCAAAAAAGCAAAATATAAAAATAAAATAGTGGAGAATTTGCATGTAACCTACAATATCCTCCTACATACTTCAAATCATCTCTAGGTTACTTATAATCCCTACTAAATGTAATGCAGTGTAAATAGTCATGCTGTATTGTTCAGGAATACTGACACAAAAACGTCTGTACAGTACATGTATGTTCAGTACATAGCACTTTTTCTAAAAAGATTTTTTTTTTCAGTGCCCAAGGCCTCGTGCATGCAAAACCAGTGCTCCACCACCCCCTGACAGCCCCAGCTTCCTTCTGAGCCGTCTAGATCTGTGGTCCACTGGGGCCGCAGCTGGTTGACTGCAGCTAGGAGCCCTCAGGACACGGAGGGCTGACCCTGAGCCCACGCCTGAGGACTCCGCCCTCTGACATAACTACCTCTAAAGGCCCCATCTTGGCAACTGGATTTCAATATGTGAATTTGGGGCAGGTGCCACAGGCGTTCGGGACATGAAAGGGGTGGACATCGTCCACCTGATGAGGTCAAGAATGTCCTCCCCTGCAGACCAGGCAAGCAGGAAAAGGGTGGTGTATTCATTTCCTTTTCCTATGGCTGTTTATTCCTGGCTTAAAACAAGGGAAATTTACTGACAGATCCAGAGTCCCAAATCAGTATCTGTGGGCTGAATCAAGGGGTGAGCTGGGCTCTGCTCCCTTGGGAGGCACTAGGGGAAAGCTGGCTTTGCCCCTGTTGCTTGTTATGCTCTTTGGTTGCTTGGTTGCTCTTTGGTTCAAAGCCACAGTACTCTGCCTTCAGTAGCTTCCTCTGTGGCCATGTGAGTTTTTTGTGTGTGTGTGAGGGGGTGGGGGGTCTGGGTGGATCTGACAGAAAAGCTTGTCTGAAAGCTTCCAGGGCTGGGGCATGGTGGTACATGTCTGTATGAGCCTGGTACTCTGGGAGGCTGAAGCAGGAAGTTCTCAGATTTGAGCCTCACCTAGATGACTTAGTGACTTAACAAGACCCTGTCTCAACTCAAATTTTAAAAAGCACACAACAAATATATATATGAGGGCTGGAGATGGAGATATAGCACAGTGTGAAAACCTTAGGTTCAATCCTGAGTAGAAAGAGAGAGAGAGAAAGAGAGAGAGAGAGAGAGAGAGAGAGAGAGAGATATATCAGGGCCAGTGGTGTCATGGTGCATGCCTGTAATCCCAGCACTTGGGAGGCTGAGGCAGGAAGATCACAAATTCAAAAGCAGCCCAAGCAATTTAGTGAGACCCTGATTCAAAATACAAATAAAAAAGGGCCAAGGACATATGAGTATGAGGCCCTGGGCTCGGCGTCCAGCACAGCAAAACTGAAACAGTACCCACTGTGGTGCCAGCCCCAGGCTGAACAGGGAGTGGCTGAGCAGATGTCCTTTCGGAAGTATTTGTAAATTGTGGTGACCTTTGTGCAAGGTTATGGTGCTGGCAGAGACTTTTGTTATCAGGCACGGGTAATATCTTTTGTAAATCCCAGCTTTATTTATTTATGGCTAGGGTTTCACACAAGTGACTCTATTTTCTATTTTAACTCAGACAACTTTCACATGGATTAACAAAGTCCCATCCAACTCTCATGGGCTGAACGGAGTTCATCTCTGTGCTTTTTTTTTTAAGACAGGGTCTCGCTATGTAGCTCCGGCTGACCTTGCACTGACCATGTAGCCCAGGCTGGCCTCCTCCTGTCTCAGCCTCCCAAGTTCTGGGACGACAAGTGTGTACCACTACACCTAGTTCCCTGGGTAATTTTTTAGAGCCACAGAATGAGTGAAGGTTGGAGAGCACTGACTGTCTTTGGGTTTGAAGTGCTTCCCTTGAGGGCTACTGGTGTCACCTGTCTGTGTCAAACGTGGGCCAAGGGGAGCCAGTGGAAGGAGGTTGCCGGGCACAGGCCGCAGATGTCCTGCAGTAGGAGCTGGCTCTGCGCCTGGACCTGGCCCTGGCCTGGGTCCAGGAGGCCGCCCAGTGTGGCCCTGGGAAGGCTTGGCTGGTCCCTCACATCAGTGCTTCCTGCTGGCAACCACCAAGCACCACCGCTTCGGCCCTGTGTGTCTGGAGCAGGGAAGGTGCCCCTCGTCCCCATCAGGAGGGTAACCTAGTTCCCTGCTGCCTTTTCTAGAGCCCCTTTTTGTTCTGTTTTGTTTCCGTGTGTTTTCATTATTTGCCGTGCTGGAGATCAGGGAAAGGCACTTTACCACTGAGACACCCAGCATCTCCCCATAAAACTCCGACTCAACACTGCCATGGTGTGGTCCCCCTCATGGTGACACTGATGGGCCTGCCCTAAGGCTTCCCGTGCTGACATTTAATCTCCATGTGGAGGTTGGAAGAGGGTGGAGTCTTAAGCTAGTTTTGATAGTTAGAGGTGGGAAGTGATTAAAATGAATACATTTATTAGGGCAGAGGCCCCCCCCCCCCATGGATTACCACATTCTTCAGAAGGGCTGGGTATGGCTCTGGGAAGCAGCTCTACTCTCTTAGAAGTGTGCCATTTCTCAGGGGGATAAGAGAATCCATCCTGATCTAAAGGAGCTCCCAGTGGGGTCCACCCTAATCTCTGTGGGGCTCTGTATTTCTCTTTCAGAATTGAGTGGACCAATGCACCATGGGAAACATCCCAAAGACCTCACCTTTGAGATAAACTAGAAAATGCTTTGTTTTGTTTGGTACTGGGAATCAAACTCAGGACCTTGCACTTGTCAGGTTCTTGTTTCATTTTCTGAGATGGGGTTCCCTACGCTGGTCTCAAACTCACACTGTTGCTCAGGTTAGCCTCGAACCTGCAGCAATCCTCCTGCCCCCTCAGCCTCCTGAGTGCTGAGTGCTAGGATTATAGGTGTGTGACACCACACTGTGCTTGAACTAGGAAGTGCTAAGAGATGGGTACAGCACAGCACTCTAAATTAAAGTGAGGTGAAAATTTTTTTTTTTTGTCTTTTTTTATCGGTACCGGGGATCGAACTCACGACCACACACTTGCAAGGCAAGCGCTTATGCCGCTGAGCTAAATCCCAGCCCCGGGGTGAAATTTCTTATGTTTGGGTTTTACAGTTCCTTATCTCTGAAAGGTCCAAGAACCTTAAAGAAGCCTCCAAAGGGAAAAACTGATGTCCTTCATGGTCCTGGCCCCAGATGCCCACCTGTCTCTCAGGGGTATTTGGGCCTTTGCCACCTATTTCTATCATAGCAAGCATCCCAGAGAGATACAGTATTGCTTCTTTCTTTCTTTCTTTCTTTCTTCTTTCTTTCTTTCTTTCTTTCTTTCTTTCTTTCTTCTTTCTTTCTTTCTTTCTTCTTTATTTCTTTGTTTTGTTTTGGGGTTTTTTTTTTTTTTTCATCCTGTTTCTTTTGTTTTTTGAGACAGGGTTTTTCTATATAGCCAGGCTGTCTTGAACTCACAGTGATTTCCTGCCTCAGCCTCCAGAGTGCTCGGATTACAGGTGTGTGCGATCACGCCTGGTGTGGCTAGTTCATTTTAAAACAAAACAAAACACAACAAAACAAAACACCAAGTAAAGGTGTCCCTGGCCCAAGCCAGAGGTAGTATGGTGCCCCCTCTGGCTCCCAAGTCCCCTGGAGGAAGCCTACTTGTATTCCTCACTGGCCATCCTTCCTGAAGGACTTGCCCAGCTCTGCCCACAGCCCACCTGGCCCACCAGCAGTGCTGGCCATCGTGTGTGCCCAACTTAGCTTCATATTCTTTGTGACACAAAAAATCAACAGCGAAATGGCTTCACATGACACTGCCACTGTCTGGATTGCTGCTGCCAAGAAACATGCTTGTCAGTACATTCTCCAATTAATGGCACCGTGTGGTCCCAGACCAGTTGCCTCTT